CCGATGCTAATATGTGATTGTGATGAAAGTTTTATATAATGAGTTAAGTTGATTTTATACGAAATAAAATTCGTTTTAGTTTATGATTGAACCCCACTAATCTTTCATAGTTTTTGGTTAAATTAGTTCAATGTTTCTTCTTCTTAGTTTCATTTATGACTTTAACTTTTGGTTTTAAGAAATTAGTGTTCTTCAATATATAGGCCATTTCTTTAGTTGAATACAGTGTACAATTTTGTTAATTAAATACATTTTTCTTCTTACAAAGGACTTGCTAGTATATCACTTAATATGTATAAAGTTTAATTAGTAATATTTAATTATTTGATTATTAATTATGTCACTAATATTCCGTACACTACAACTAGAGACAAAGTATGAGGAAAAGTAATTTCTAAGTTTTAAAAGCTTTTGCTTTCGTTTTCGATGGATTTTGTTTAAGTACGTACAGCGACATGGGAGCCATACAAACTATTTTTAATGTGTAATTTCAATTTGAATGGAGAGATTCCATTGACTTATTTCAGTCGAGACAAAGTAACCAAAAAAAGAATAAGCCAATTGGGTAATTTTGAATAAGATGCAGACTTGTTGATTTGATGTCTTCATGTGAAACTCAACCACAAAATACTTTAATTTAGATATATGTATAATCTTAGTAATAAAGAAGAGAAAATTTGTATTAGTTGGGCATATAAATAAGATCAGAGCTCTCCAAAATTATTAATATCATGGGTTGAGCTTTAAATTAATTAATCTAGTTTAATTTATTCTTATAGTGGGTTAAGAAAAATTTGGTTCGATTTAATTTATTAATTTAGTGGGTTGACTCATTAAAAAGTAAATAATATTAAAACAATAGACAAATAAATTACATGTATATAAAAGACCAAGAATTTAAAAGTTATTAAAAAAATTCATCGAATTTTATCATTATTATTTAACATTTAATATTATTAATTAAGTAGAAATTAAATTTTAATCAATTATCGAATAATAAACTTCACACTAAAATAATGTAAAAAAATAAGAAGATTGAGCCTGACTTACCACAAGTAGCTTGGTTGAATTCATTGATTGAGTGAGTTAGGTTATAATCTTTGAGTCTAATTTTTTTACAATAAAATTTTAAATATTAAAGCTTAAAAACAAAATAATGTTTTGTCTACTTAATCTCATGCAGTCCCAAAGCTTTGCTTTCCACCATTACGCAAAAATACAGTTCTTAGAAGCAGGTCAGAGAGTGTATTAGTAAATTCCTCTCTTTAAATGTTCTTAGAAAGAAAGAAAAATTCTATCTCAAATAGAGTTTTTCTCTTCACTTTAATTGTTGAATAGACTGTATTTGACAAGTTGTTTTAAATTTTAATTAATTTATAATATTTTGATTAACTTATAAATATATTATAAATTTATTTGATTAAGATAAAATGTTTAGTCAATAAATTTAAGTTATTAATATTAATTTATAGTATTTTAGTCAACTTACAAACTTAAGGCAGCATTTGAATTTGTACCTGATAATTTATTTATTGGTTATTTTTCCTTTAACGTTCTAAAAAAGTACTCTTATTTATTGCGTCATTTAATATTACACCAATTATTTTAATCTTTAATAAAATATTTAAGACAAAAATTATGAATTTTTTTGTAAAAAAATGATGGTTTAAATTTAACTTTAAAACTCAAACTATAATTATCAATAACCATTTTTTATCTATAAAATAAAATTATATATATTTACGTAAACGTATTTTTTTATCTTTTTTTTATATTTTTCATCTTGTTAAATAGTTGATTTTTTTAAATACTTTTACTTTTATAATTTAATTTAACCGTTTTTAATTAATATTTCAACTTTTTAGTTAACTTATTAATTATTTTTGTCAAACATAGTATTTTTTTTTTACGAAATATGACGATTTGAGTTTTTATTGTGGAGGAACTCACCATTTATAAAATAATTAATTTTATTTAATAAAAAAATTACTTCGTAATTATCCTCTTGTGATTATACCCTCCCTTATAAATTTTTTTTAATTCTATTCCAAGTTATAGTCACACATGAGATTAACATAATCAAGTGCACATTATGAAAGGTAGACAAAATATGACAAGGAGTGACCTTTTATTTTTCTTTTAAATCACATTTTCATTATTAGATAGAGATCCAAATATATGAAAAATGATATTACAATGCTAAACTTTATGAATTGAAAACATTAGGTGACAACACTACTTGCGTTTTATTCAATGGTGTATTTGTTTGCCCCTTATTTTTAAACTTATTTTATTTTAATCGTAAAAATGAAGTTTACTCTTTTGTGGGATCTTTCCAAAAAATGCAACTCATGTCAAATAGCATTGTTATTGTTATTTTTTATTTATTTGTTTTTTTTAAATTATACATAAAGAATTTTACTTAAAGCATGATGGACACAAAATATGTGAGCATGATTTGCATAATTTTCTTATGCACAACCAAGCAAACAAGACAGTAAATTTGGGACATATTAATGAGAATGGTATTTAAGTGTGTGATAGAACATAGTAAAGGCAAGCCTCAATCAAATGTGTTGGTGATCACTTGATGCATGTGATTTGGTGATAAATTTTTTTCTAGGATTCTAATAAAGGCATTCACTGCTTCTAGTTACCGGCCAAAAGTCATTAATTGAGAGTAGTTAAGGTGAAAAGGAAGATAGAAGAACATGAAAATGAAAGCAACGTTGAAAACTTTTTCATAGTTTCAAAAACTGACCTTTTTCCATCAAGAAAAACCCCACTTTATAAATTGTTCAAATAAATATTTTAAAATTTTCATTACATAAAATAGTACCCCAAAAAAATACCAACAAAGGAACAGTCCACATAAGATACTATATCAATAATTTATTAATACAAATTATACTTGATACGTGAAGCTAAAGTAAATGCCCACCTGAATTTACAAACTAATTCAAGGTTGTCTTTTCATAAGAGGAAATAATAGGGTAAATTAATGTTAAAAAAATAAGAAAAAACCAGAAAATCATAAAATAAAATTTATTTTTACACTACAGGTTTCCATAAATTTTTTGTCAAATTCTAATCAATATTCTTATAGTACTTATTAAAAATTTTAAAATAAATTTGTATTTAAATTATTAACAAGACTTTTTTTTTTAAAGCATAAAAGGAAAAAAAAAGTATGAGATAAAACTAATGTAGAATGTGGTAATTAATGAAGAGTAATAAAATAAAAAGTTATTACATAACTAATATAATTAATTATAAAATTACTTTTCCATGTTCCACTTTTTGATTTTATTCATTAAATATTTTCATGAAAACATAGATGTGATAGAAGACTTTTTCATCTTAGCCGTTTAAGGAGTCATCACAGATAATCATGGTACGTGTGCATTGTCCTCTCTCACTTTCATCTCCACTCTCTAACTTTCAGTTACAAATAAATAAAGTCTCAACCTTTCTCTCTCTCTCTCTCTCTCTCTCTCTCTCTCTCTCTCTGGGTCTGTGTTTGGTCATGAAAGATTAAGTGGGTTGAATTAAGGTTAGTGTCCATTCTGCATTGCATTGCTGTCATTTTATTCTCTAATCCTTTCCTCACTTTTTGTTTATTTCTTAATGTTTATTTATCTGCAAAACCAAAAAATGAAGTCACTTTCTTCAATCCTTTTTTCTTTTTTTAATTCCTTGTGAAGCTTCTCTCTTCTGTTCTCACTTCTCTCTACCTTAAAATGCTCCTTAATTTCAACAAAATTTCTTGCCTTTATGGGCTGCTAGTGCTGTGCTTACTCTTCCCAATGAAACCCAGTTTCAGATTTTGATATGAATGCTCCTACGAGTTGTTAGTAGCAATTACTCCAGAATCTGAAGCAGAAGCACCCCATCAAATTCTACTTTCTTTCTCCCAATGCTACTCGATATGGTGTTTCATCTCTGAATTCTGATACTAACACTGTTTCTGAGCTCTTCCATGCTTCTTTTCAGGTGATTGTTCAGTTGAAAGTTTGTCCTTTTTCTCTTTCTTCATGCATATTCAGTGGTACAGTGGTACTCTTAATTTAGCATGCAGATCTGGGTTCTTTTGAGGTTTTCGCAAGAGTGTTCTTCCACATTGGGGACTGGAATGTGATTCAAAAGCATGTTTTGGTTTATTGTTTATGCTAATTCTTATGTTCGGAATACTGGGGTTTTGGTTTTTGTTTAGGATCTGAAGGTACTTGTGGAGAAAGGTTTTGTTTTTCTTTTCAAAATGCAAATTTAGTTGTTGAACTACTCTTGCTGTTTCTGATCTTTTAAATTTCCTTCCTAATCCATTAAATGGGGTATGTTTTTTGAAGGACAATTAGGTTCCTTGTTCATTCATTTCTTTCAATGTAGAATTCCTCTTTCTTCTTGGGAAGCTAGAAAAAGGAAACACAGGAGGCAGGCTTGTGTTGGTTGGTGGTTGGCTAGAAAATTGTGTGCTTCAGAAAATAGAGTGCAAAAAATGTTAGTTCCAGTTACCAAACAGTTTATGAAGTTACCGCAGAACTAATGTTACAGTGAATGTTTCCTTTTCTTGGCTTCTCTCTCACTTTCCTCTTCTGCCAAATTGGAAATTCTTTTTGTTGTTCATGAGTCATACCCTTCTTTGGCAGCAGAAAAACTTCATTCTCTTTTTAACTTAATCTTTCTATGAGTTGTCTAGAAACATCTTATGTCTGCAAAATTATGAGGGGTTGGCTATTTTGATAAACCAAACATTGTTCCTTTCTTGCTTAACCAAACTTCATTGCCGATTATTCTTTGCAATTACTTAATTATTTAGGCATTGACAGGTTTAAAGTAACTGTTTTAATTGTGTGAAGTACCTTTTTTTTTTATATAATTGTCATTTAATATGTTTTCCTTTCCAGTGATTGAAAAAGATCTGGATGCAAGTATTTTTAGAAAATTCAATTTCATAATACCTTTTTTTAATTTCTTTTAATTTTGTAGCTTTTTGCCTTACATGCTGTAAACAGGGATTCTGACTCATGTAACATACAAGCTCCAAGTTATTGAGCTTAAATTGCTTTTTTTCTGCTGTAACTATACAAAGATTAAGCTAAAGTTAAGTATGCTTTAACCTTTTCAGCATGCTTCTGCTATTTTAGTGGATTTAATTGTTTAGAAAAGACATTCAAGTGTTCAATGTGATAAACTCTTGGAAATGAATATGCTCTTTCAATGATGGGAAGCTATTCCATTGTTATCTCTCTCTTGATAATAAAAATCTTACAAGTTGGTCAAAAAAGAGACTGCAAAATTTTACCCGTGGGCTTGCAATAGACTATCTGTTCCTCGGTTATACCTTATAACTATCATTTTCTGGAATGTTGTCATTACAATTCTACTACCTGGTTTTGTTGTTTAACTTGTTTACTTATTTTTGTTGCTGGATCCTAACTTTGATTTATGGTCATGATGCTAAACCAGGAAAATATGAAGGCTGGCAAAGTTCACTCCAAAATTAACTGTCAATATCTCATTCCTGACAGCAAACAGCTCTCCATGAAGCTCTATTCTATTCCAATGGCTCCTTTCCTTTTTGTCATAGTTATTCTTTTTCCTCTGGCTATTGCTGACCTGAATTCAGATAAGCAAGCCCTTCTTGATTTTGCTAACGCTGTCCCCCACCGTCGGAACCTGATGTGGAATCGATCCACCTCAATCTGTACATCTTGGACAGGCATCACATGCAATGAAAATGGAACTCGTGTTGTTTATGTCCGGCTCCCTGGAGTCGGACTAGTAGGCTCCATCCCATCCAATACACTTGGCAAGCTTGATGCCGTGAAAATTATTAGCCTTCGCTCAAACCGACTCAGAGGAAATCTTCCTGCTGACATTGCTTCTCTTCCTTCTCTCCAATATCTCTACCTCCAGCATAATAACCTTTCTGGTGATATACCTGCCTCATTGTCTCCAGAACTCGTTGTACTCGATTTGTCATATAATTCCTTCACTGGTGGCATTCCAAAGACATTTCAAAATTTTTCAGAATTAACTAGTTTGAATCTCCAGAACAACTCCCTATCTGGACAGATACCTAATCTCAATGTCAGTAACCTCAGGCTTTTGAATTTAAGCTACAACCATTTGAATGGCTCTATTCCCAAAGCTCTTCAGATTTTTCCGAATTCTTCCTTTGAAGGAAACTCTCTTCTATGTGGACCACCTCTAAAGCCATGCTCTGTGGTTCCCCCTACACCTTCTCCAGCTGTGACTCCAGCTCCATCATCACCTCCTGGAAGCTCAAAAAGCAAGTTGAGTAAGGTAGCTATCATTGCAATTGCTGTTGGAGGAGCTGTGGTGCTATTCTTTTTAGCTCTTGTTATTGTTGTTTGCTGTTTAAAGAAGGAAGATGACAGTGGCTCAAATGTAGTAAAAGGGAAGGGTCCTAGTGGTGGTAGGGGTGAGAAGCCAAAAGAAGAGTTTGGGAGTGGGGTACAAGAACCTGAGAAGAACAAGTTGGTTTTCTTTGAGGGTAGTTCTTATAATTTTGATCTTGAGGATTTGTTGAGGGCTTCAGCTGAAGTTCTGGGAAAGGGTAGTTATGGTACAGCATATAAGGCTATATTGGAGGAGTCAATGACTGTTGTGGTGAAAAGATTGAAAGAAGTTGTGGTAGGCAAGAAGGACTTTGAACAGCAGATGGAGATTATAGGAAGAGTTGGACAACACCCAAATGCCGTGCCACTTCGTGCTTACTATTACTCAAAAGATGAAAAGCTTTTGGTATATGACTATGTCCAAGGTGGCAATCTATACACGCTCTTGCATGGTATGAATTCTTTTTCCTTAGGTTTGGTTAAATCTTCTAAAATCAAACTTTTTTTCTTTTATTCCTTGTATGGTCTTGTTTTATTTGTTTTCATATCATTCAAATATTTGAAGTCATTTTGGATAATTTTATTTTCTAACCACATTTGTAATTCACCATGTTCTAGTATCTACCAAATCCAACTAAAACTTTTCACTTTTACCTTAAGTTGAATCTCAATTTCATTACAGGTAGCAGGACAGGTGGAAGAACTCCATTTGATTGGGACTCTCGAATTAAAATATCCCTTGGAACTGCCAAAGGACTAGCCCACATTCATTCTGTTGGTGGTCCAAAGTTCACACATGGAAATATAAAGTCCTCAAATGTCCTCATCAACCAAGATAATGATGGCTGCATCTCTGACTTTGGCCTGACCCCTCTCATGAATGTACCAGCAACCCCTTCTAGAGCTGCAGGTTATCGTGCTCCTGAGGTCATTGAAACGCGTAAACACTCTCATAAATCCGATGTGTACAGCTTTGGTGTCCTCCTTCTTGAGATGCTCACAGGGAAGGCTCCTCTTCAATCTCCAGGACGCGATGATATGGTTGATCTCCCAAGGTGGGTTCAGTCTGTTGTTAGGGAAGAGTGGACAGCTGAAGTTTTTGATGTGGAGCTAATGAGGTACCAAAACATTGAAGAAGAAATGGTGCAAATGTTGCAAATTGCCATGGCCTGCGTGGCAAAGATGCCAGATATGAGACCTAGCATGGATGAAGTAGTGCGAATGATCGAAGAGATTCGGCAATCCGACTTGGAGAACCGACCATCTTCTGAAGAGAATAAATCTAAGGACTCAAATGTTCAGACTCCATAGATTAACTAGCATTTTGCTTAACCAGGAAGCAACAATAAATGGTATATAATGGTGCATTCTTAGTCGAGTTTTCTCAAGCTGTATTCAAACCTTTCTTTCCAATTGTTTAATATCTCTCATAGATGTTGTTCCATGAGTTATTTTCTCCTATAGGTAGATTGCTTTTATGAATTCTTATGTATTAACAACATGATTCAATTAATGATCTTCATTCAAGCTCATTTTGTCCCGTGAAATTGTTTTTGTGCTATTTTTAACACCATATGCGTATTATTTCACCTTATGAATAATGTTACCTTGAGTCATGTTCAAATATTTTGTGTTATACAGGTTTTGACTCGTGAAGCGCTCTCATTTCATCGTGAGTCAGCGTGTTGAGTTAAAAGAATGAGTTGAATGTGAGCTGTTTACAAGTGCATGATCTCATTTTCACCCAGTATTCTAACTTAATTTGTAAATTTTCTTTATGATATAATCTCTCCAAAGGTTTGTGTTAAAACAAAATCAAAGCACCTATCTAAACGAAATGATGCTTTCAATATGTATTTAAGTCATTTTTAATATGCAAGATTTTAAGTAATGATAAAAAAAAAAAAAAATCTAATGAAAGATTCTAATATGTATTTAAGTCCTCAAATGATAAAACTTTTTTTGGTCTTTTATCTTATTTTTTGGCTTAAAGGTTTTTTTTTTGCTTTAACCCAACCCTAATGTCATATTAAAATATAAATGTGGATTTGTTTTAAGATAGTGAGTGACTTATTTATTTAAAATGTTAAAATTCGTGGGTTTTTTTTTTTTAACTAATTATTGATCTTATTATCTAACAAATTCTCCTTTTATCCTCCTGTATGATTCTCGAAGTTAGGTGCCTCTAATCATATTATGGATACTTTGTCAATCTTGAATTGCCAGGTTACCACCGATGAGTTCATGGTTGCAAAACTTAAGGGTCTTCCATTTACACAAATAGATTCCACTACCATTCTTACTTCCTTTTACCCTCTTCACCTTTCTTCTGCTTTTAATATCCCATGTTTACTTAAAATCTTATATTCTTTCTCTCAACTTTTGTTAAATTCTTTACTTGACATTTTGAGGTAAAGACTTTGAACAAAATCATTTATTTCAATACTTTCCTATTGAAGGACTTTGTCTTTTTTTATGTACAATAAGCATTAGAAAAGGTTTGGCATTTCTAATGGCCAGCCAACTCTATCAAATCATTTATCCACACAAAGGTTAATTACTTAAAGACAGTTTCTTAGAATAAAAACATAAAACTTGGTAGATGTTGCAACCACTTCGATAATTTCTCCACCGTAAAAGATATCCTTTGTGCACAATGTAACAATGTAACTATGATTTTCTATTTAAAGTTCTGTTTAAGAAGATTGTCTATTTAAAGTCTGTTCAAATAGCATTTTGCTTTGTAATATACTATTAGTTAAATATTTACATTACACTATAAATATATTATATCTGAAATAGTAAGTATATATTCACAGATAAATGTCAACTATATGACTTGGCGAAACTACATGCCCCTTTAAGACCATTCTTGTCTCCATATATATATCCGCCAACCTTGATTTACCATATATAGATTTGTGCATTTGTGGTGAAAAAAACACTAAACCCTTGAAGTTAAAGAAAACCATCATACAAATAACCTATCTTTTAGCAAGGTTAATTATGTTAAACTAATTAACATTAGGCATAGGTGTGTTCCCCTTGAAGGTGGTCAATATATGGAGGAGCAACCACAAAGCAAGTCGGCGTTGGTGAAGAATCTGTCCACCGGCAGTTTCCGGAATCCGAGCCGCCGCGTGGCCTTAGAAATGCCCACCCACCACCGCACTTGCTCTAGCCCTAGCGACATCAATTCCTCCATTGACCACCTTGACAAGAGACGTTGCCATCCATGTTGTTTTGGATGTTGTGCATGGACATGTGTTGTTGTGTTCGTCTTAATCATTGCTTTTCTCTTTGTTGGAATCGCCTATGTGGGTTTCCTCAAATCAGGAATGCCAGAAGTTAACGTGAGAATGTTCAACATAACCAAGTTACAAGTTGATAATAACACACAAAAGATGGATGCAATTATAAACCTAGTACTAAAGGTTTCTAACAAGAATGAGAAGCTTAAGCTTTTTTATAGCCCTCTTTCTGTTGATGTCGCAAGTGATGATGTGCCATTGGGAAAGACCAAAGTCCATGGATTTTCTCAAATGCCTATGAATGACACCAATTTGAATATGACTATGGTATTGGAAAATGCTGATGTTAACACGTATGCTGTGGATGATTTGAAATCAGACATCAAAGCCTATGAGATGGTGTTTGATGTGTATGTCAATGGGAAAATTGGTTTTCAGGTTGGAAGTTGGCATATGAGTAAAGTCCCATTTCTAGTATCTTGTCATCAAATCAAGCGCATGGATGTGGATTTTGGAAGAAGGCCTCCATGTAATGTTAAGATGTTTGCTATCAGGTAAAATTAACTAGATATATATTGCTAATGTTATGCCATTTTGGATTGCATAAATTTTGGTGATTAATTGATAGACATTTGTTTGAATTTGAGAGATTTGTATATCTAGTTTGATGAAACTTGAAACTTGAGCAAGGAATAAGGTTGGCCAGGGTCTGATTTTCAGGTAGAGATATGTTCAAATTGTGGTTGACTCCCAGTGCAACCAAAAGAGAAAAAAAAACAAAGGCATGCATAACAGAAAATGAAATTATACATATGAGGGTGTTTCTTAAGTTGAAAACTGAAAAAAAAAAATTGTCACAGAATTTGTAGGAAAAATATCCTGAACAACATAAATTTTTATCCGGTATATTGTGTCTGCAATGAAACGTGAACTTTTGTATCTAGATATATTCTATTTAGTGAATGATCTATTATGGATAATAAAAAATAAATAGTATTCGTTTCACATATATATTTAAACACTTTTTACATCTCTTATTGTAAGACGTGTTAAATCACCTCACACACACACACAAAAAAGACACTAATGATTTTCCTAAATGTTGATGTGTGAAATTTTGCTGCAGACCTTCAAAAAACTGAAGAAATCAATCACAAGCAAGCCACTCTTGCCAAAGCAACATTTCATTGTATCCTTCATTGGAGGACAAGTTTATTGCTACTAAAATGAGTTTCTGCAAAGAGCCAAGTATGTCATTCACGAGCCATTAGAGATACATGTACATCTGAAGTTCTTCAATCTAGATAAACTCCCCTATTCATTGTGGACATGTATATATGTTCTAATGTGGTTATCAATTATCAATGTTACAGCAGTGTAGTGCAAGTGTAGAGAGAGAGAAAGAGAGATTTGGAGTAGCCTATTTTTTATTAGGACCTCTAAAGTAGAATGTCTTTTCCAAGTGTACCAAAAAACTTGATTTAAATTTAATTTTATCTTTTATATCAATAATTTAAATTTTATTTTAGTGCTAGGTCTAAATTTAAATTGTATAATACCTACCAGTAAATATGTGAGGATATATACATTTCTTTTTTCTTATAAATATTTCACACATATTATTGCAAAGTTAATTAGGTGATACAAATCAGTATACTGTCTTTGTTGTGGCATTTGAACTTTTATTTATTTAAAGTAAAACTATCAAATTAACAATGTGTTTGACTTTTGTGTTAAAATACAAATAAATTTATGTTTATTTTAATATAATTAGTTATAACCTTTATATTACAAATCTTTATGAAGACAGCAAATAACAACTGTAAGATGTTGATTTTATATATTTCTTTTCAATCCAAACATTGTCTAACACATATATTGATGGCGTAGAATGATTTATTATTTAAGTTAGATTGTTATTTTCATGTTATTTTTCCGGGCCTAATAAGAAGAGAATCAGAATTTTTAAGAAACTTTTTAATGAAACGAAAAAGGTTCTTTATTTTTAATTTCAATTTTTTTTATCATTGCGTGAATATTTTGCATTTTCTCTCATACTGGGAAGGTTCCGTTACGTGTGGTTATTATTATTCTCTGCACCCTTCAAACGTAGGACGTTGATCCTACGCAAACATCGAATACGAATACAGAACCTTCTAGAACCCCTCTCCCTTCTCTATAATTTCTCTCTCTCAAATTCTATTTTTCTTCAGTCAAGGCCTTTTCAATTTCAACCCTAACCCTGATTTTCGCACTTTCATTCTCCAAATCCCCTTTTAGTTTCAGGTTTTCCTTATTTTTATTTTTGGGTCTCTCTATTTTGAAGTTTAAGCCATGGCATCAAAACGCATCTTGAAGGAGCTGAAGGATTTGCAGAAGGACCCTCCTACATCGTGCAGTGCAGGTAAACCCTTTTCCTCTTTTGATGCATACAACAAATTGAACGCTTCAAGTTTCGATTTTTTTGTCTTTAAATTTCGATGCATTACAATAGGACCCTCATAATTGGTTTATAATTATTGAACCCTTTTGTTTTATTTTGTGTGCATGACCCTTTTCACCTTTTTCCTGTGATAATTGGTGTTTTGATTCTGTTATTTTGATCAGCTAAGCTAACCCTTTTCATTTTTTATGTTCAAGTTAGAGGGATGATTCAACAGGACTAGACAAAACAAAATATAAAACACTGTTCGCTATATTATCCTTCTTTTATCTGAATTTTTTATTATAATTGACAATATGTGGTTATAAATATATTGTTCCTGTAAATGGTTGTTAAGAATTAGTTATACAAATAGCTTGATTAGGAGTATAGGAAAACACATGAGGCTTCAGGGTTTTCAAATTATTATCATGGAGTCTATGTTTATCCTTTAAATTTTTAGTTATTGGTTTATAAGTTAGCTGTAGTGATATGTTTCTTTTATTAACTTTAGAAGTTGGTGTTGTCTATGTCAGGTCCCGTGGCCGAGGACATGTTTCACTGGCAAGCAACAATCATGGGACCAACTGATAGCCCGTATGCAGGTGGTGTATTCCTAGTTTCAATTCATTTTCCTCCAGACTATCCATTCAAACCACCAAAGGTAAATATTCATACTGCATGGAAATAAGTTTGTGCCTTCCCATGCTGAGCTTGTACTACTTGGTGTTGCATCTTATTTATCATTCTTTATTTTAGAAAATGTATTTTGTATGAGGAGATTGTGAAGACTACAAACCAAATGAAGTTTTAGGGTCTGCCTCTTCCAATCTTAAATGTCAGTGCAGGATCAAGCTAGATTCTTGTTGACTTTGGCATTCCTAGCCTCTTAAGATCGGTTTTTTGAGTGGTCTTGATAGGCAGTGTGAATGTCATCCATAATTGCTGAAAATGTTGGAATCCTTCATTTTGGCAGTGGATGCTATTCTCTATGAAATATGAATATGCTGAAAGAAATATATGAAGATTAAATTTTACACTTCAAAATTTTTTAGTGCAGTCTAAATTCAACAATATTGGGATGATACTTTTGGAAGTCTAGCAATCATGATAAAAAAGGTCTTTTAAATGACGGAACTGGGTTTGCCTTGTGTCTTGGCTTCTCTGGCTGTGGGAGTGTGTAGGAAACTTCTTATGGTGATATTTATGACTGCTGTGAAAGTGGGTCATTTGTTATCATGATTCCTAGTTTCTACAGGAATCTCAGAGGAATGGAATCCCTTGTTGAAATTTTTGATAGTATTCTCAATTTCTTCAGTTTGTTTTATTATTAATAGTATTACTATTACTATTTCGTTTGGATGGGGAGGAAGGAATTCTCCTGCCTTGAGGTGCCTCAGGCCATCTGAGGTGCAATGTCAGGAACCTAACCTGCCTTGCCTCAATGCCGAGGTGGCTGAGGCAGCAGCAATTGATAACACTTGTGTGTAGTCACTGACAATCATAACTGTTCCTTTCATTAGTAGGATAAAGAGCAGGGTTGTTTTAGTTCTGTTCCGAATAAGATTGTTGGATGTTATTGATGACCGCCCTCCACTTGACTGTTTTATGTTGAGATGGTTTTTCCTGTTCCGTCATGTCTATTTCATTCTTTTGTAAATTTTTTTATCAAATCATTTTGTTCTTCTTGATGTGGTGATTTGACTAACTTGTGCACTCAAAGTACAATAGAATTACCTAGTTTAATTCTCTTTAAGATACGGTAGCTAACAGCTGGTAGTCAAGTTTACAATATCTTCTACTTCTGTCTAGTCTATTAATTTTAGAAATGATGAAATTACCATCTTTACTGTAGGTTGCATTTAGGACTAAGGTATTCCACCCAAACATCAACAGTAACGGAAGTATATGCCTTGACATTCTGAAAGAACAATGGAGCCCAGCACTAACCATTTCCAAGGTTTGATATTAATTGTTTTTTTCCCCTTCATATTTAATGACTTTGCAGAATGTTTTAGCTTATGTTACTTACTGATCGTAGCTAGCTGTACCATTTTGCCTTTTAGAAAAATTTTAGTATTCCACTTGTGAGAATTTGACAAAGATGTATTTCTGTGGCATATAAATACGTGCTGTGCCTACTGAAGTTCAGAAATACTAGCCTTGCCGATTGTATAAAAATTGACTTGAGATATTATTTTCAAGTCACCTTATGTTTGATGACGCTGTTTTGAAACTTGGAAACACTAACATACTCTATTTTTAGGTCCTTTTGTCAATTTGCTCCTTGTTAACGGATCCCAACCCTGATGACCCGCTTGTTCCTGAAATTGCGCACATGTACAAGACGGACAGGACAAAGTATGAAACCACTGCTCGCAGCTGGACACAGAAGTATGCCATGGGATGATCATGCTCCCTCTTTTTGCTGTCCAATGTGATTTTTATGAAGAAACAAAAGATACTTTTCAATGAATGCTTTTTCTTTACTTGTCTGTGGAACTCAACTATGGTGAGGGAATTGATTATCATATGTGAATATTTCTTTGCAAGACATCGGTAATGGAAGAAATTGTATTGTAATGTCATGCAAACTTTCTACTTGTTGACTTGCTATTCTAAACAAGTGATAAGGAAATTATGGTTATGACAAGGTAGTGTTTTCCTATTTACGTAGAACTTGATTCTTTTTGGCGCGTGACAAAAGAAAAAAAAATCTGAGTGGGGTTAGAAAAATTCTCCAAATCTTCATAATAGATTGTTTTAATTTATTTTGTTATTGCTCAGACCTTGAGTTCATTGTGTAAAGGGCCCTGCCAATTGTGCTTAAAAGACTGGGCTTTAGCAAATAGTGAGCGAGCTATCCCAAGCATTATTATGGTGATATTTTGCCACATGTGAATCGCTTCTTTTTTTTTCCTAAACCTCGTGTGAATTACTTGAATTCGCAAAATGGTACCTCCCGAAAAAATTGAATTCAAGTTGTATTATTGGGCATTCCTGAGGTTGAATTTATGATCAATGTCAGTAGCATGTTTAGAATTGCATTTAAACATGCTTTAACATTGTGTGAATATAGTAGTGATATTTAGTAATGTTTAAGTAAATGTGAATTGTTGACCGATAAATGTGAATTTAGATACACACAGCGATCTTTTAGAAGAACGACCAGTATCCATTAGTCCATCCAACACCATTGAACATAATTTGGACAAGCCCAGCCAAAAGTTAGTCATAATTGTGAGGAACAACATTAGTCAAAGAGAAAGTCCACTGTTGTGATTCTCGACGTTGGACGTGTTTTATGGGGTCTTCACACTGTAAAATGAAAGCAACGGACAAGTGAATTGAAAGGAGTTGGAATGGAGAAATTTCATATTTTTCCCACAAAATCATACAAATTAAATGATCCTTAAACAATGTTTGAACTTTGAAAAACGGGTTTGACTTAAGAATTTAATATGTTTAGTACTTAAAATGCGTGCTGGAAACCACTAGTTATGATGCATCAGGAAAGAGACATATTTGCGGTGAGGTCATAACAAGTACCTTGAATTGGGGTCAATAGTTAATAATTTAATAAGAACAGTGGCCAACGAAAAAGTTAGCAAAAAGGTTAATTAGGAGACTCATCATTACTTGGTTAACAAGCAACAAGCAAAGAGGGGGTCATTTGTTTGCAACTTCTTGCCCCCTCAACGTAGATAATATTACACGTGTTTGACTCTCTAGCATGCTTATTTGCCTTTGCTTCTTTCTCAAGCCAAAACCTAACCTAACTAAACTTTTTTAGCAATTTCCTCCCCACAATGTTTAGACCCTTCTCATGATGTTAACTTTTCCTTTGCATTGTTTATTTCATCCTTAGCCATTGCTCGTTTATCTAGAGCAACAAACAACTCCCAATCTCTCGTCAACTTCTTTAATCTTTTGTTTCTTGTGAATGCCTCTCATCAAATTTATCATCTCTAAGTTTGACATTTACCCACATGAAAATTCCCTTTACAATTTCATCATTTCATATCATTTGAGCCTAGTGAATTGAGCCCTATGATACCTGTAACTCATAGGATTAAATCTGCATATGTGGAGTCTCACAAATAGATGTGACAAATTTTCCCTTCTAGTCTCACAAATACTTGTGTCTTTTTGTATGATTGATATCCAACTCAGTTACTGTGAATTAAGGTATCTCATCTCAACAATGTCCAACACCGAATGGACAAACTCTGAAGAAAATTGTACTGAAAAGATATTATAAGCGTCTGCAAGGTCATCATGGGTTGGACAAGCCCAAGGCCAAAGCACAACGGTATCATTAGCACTAGTACTTTTTACGTTTAATTTTTTTCATCTTGTTTTACAGTATTTTTCACGGATCATAGGTATTCATGAACCGCTTTAATAACAAACTATAGAAAGTCACGTCAATTACCCGATTTAAACGTTATAGCTTGGTGTCCAAGTAGAAGCGATTGTTCTTCAATCTCCTAATCAGAAAAATCTTCCAACATGGAACCCGTCAATTGCGTGGTCTGAGATTCACCAACGTGGAAAGATAGCATGGTTCTTTCTTTGGATCTTACTCTCCTCACTTTCTTAGACCCTTTAATGTGCCCCCTCATATTGTATATATAATCAACATTCAATTGTTAATAGAGACTCTATTACACACACAAAAGAACACGCTTTCAAGTTTCAAGATTAAGAACTGCTAACTATAGTTTGAAAGCACGATTTGAATAGTTTGGTCCCAAATTTGAAGGAACAAAATATGAAAAGGCTTTGGAAAAATAAAAATGTTTTGGATAATAAAGTTGGATTATAGAGAAGTCGTCAATAGAGGCAGCTGGAAGCTGGGGATTTTTCTGCTGCCGACAGCGACACACACACCCAATAGGGAGTCATGACCCTCCACTCTCTCACACTTGACACTCCCTTCATTACTCCCCCTCTCTTTCCTTCAATTCGTTACCCATATCCCCACCCTCACGAGAAAAATATTTTGTTGATCCTCCAATGGGGACACACCCCGTGGTTCACCATAAATACCCTTTAATCCCACCTCTCTCTCCTTGTTTTCTTCTCTCGCTCTCTCTCTCTCTCTCTCTCTCTCTCTCTCTCCTCACACTCAGCTTTGCTCTGTCCCTTATTTTCCCGCCAAGCTCGCTCTTCCCTCTCACTCTTCCTTACCCATAAGAATTCATCCATATCTCAACCTTCCACACCTCGCAAAATAGTGAAAATACTATCCTTTCTCTTTGATCACTACCTCTATGAATCTCCCACCTTTTCCATTTCCTCACTCTCTTCACTAACAACCTCAAAGTGAGTGACACACACCAATCCTTTCTTTCTTCTCTCTCTCTCACACACTCACTTTCATACTCACTCATGTCCGTGCAATCGACCCTGAAGCTCCAGCGCCTGAAGCAATCAACTTCAATTTCCGATTTTGAAGGTGACCCACCATGCAAAACCACCAAAAGAACCCAACCTCAGAAGAAGCTCCTCCGGATCATACTCACCGACCACGATGCCACCGACTCTGACTCTTCCGGCGACGATGAAAACCCACCCAAAAAGTTTCGAAAAGTGAAGAGGGAAATAACCCACGTCACCATCAACCTTCCCTTCTCTTATTTCCCAACCACTTCACCATCTTCCTCGTCTCCTTCCCCTGACCCGACCCGTTTCAAGCGATCCGAAAAAATACCCACCAGCCCTCGCCGCCGGAGCAAGTTCCGTGGCGTTCGCCAGCGCCCGTGGGGACGGTGGACCGCTGAGATCCGTGACCCGACCCGCAGAAAACGGGTCTGGCTCGGCACATTCGACACGGCAGAGGAAGCCGCCGCCGTTTACGACATGGCCGCCGTGAAGTACAAGGGCCGCAACGCCGTCACCAACTTCCCACTTAACGCCACCGAGAAAAAGGAGGAGGAGGAGCCGGCAGTTCTTTCGGACGATGGTTTTGCGTCGCCGACGTCTGTTTTGGCGTATTGCGACGGCGAGTCGACGCCGTTCGACGGTTTTCGTTACGGCGCGGTGGATGCGTTGGGGTTCGACGTCGATTGGCCGTTAAGTTTGACGGACGTTAACTCGGGGCTGCTGAGTCAGCGGTTTGGGAAGGAAGAGTTCAGCGAATTTGACCCGGACGAGTTCTTGACGTGGCCCAGTTGAGGGGCTTATTTGTCTTTTCATTATAAAAGTCGGGGATTGTTTAGTAATTCTCCTAAAGTTTTTGTCCTATTCTGTTTTCTACTACGTGGAATTCCGAAACTACCCTCATGACTGAAGTTTTTTGTGCAGTTAGCTTAGAAGAGTGTAGAGAGCATTAGAGTAAGCATTTTCCCACCTGAAGCAGATATTTTGTCCTAAGTTAATCTGTAATTAATTTTATTATTGTGGAATGACCAGGAAAATGTAAAAAAGAAAGGGGGAAATCTGAAAATCTAAAAAGCTAGTGAGCGATGATTGATGATATTAAAAGGCTCTATTGTAGTTTCATATATATAATTATCTAAAGTATTATTAATGAAACTTTTGTTGTCTAAAGTTAGATGATTAAATTATTTTGTTTCCATGCATGATTTATTTTTCCTTTATTATAATTCTCTCTGCATAATGCCTTGTTTGGTAAGGGCGAAAGTAATATCAATCTATGATTGCCTTTTTGTATGGAAGATGCTTTTTTTTTTTATTCTAATTCGGCTTCTATAGGTAGCTCGATGGTATCATAATGATTCACCTAATATTATTATTCCAACATGGAATTATCAATATTATTTATATGAACTTGAATAATTTTCTTACTGGGTATTTATATATACCCATATCCAAACTCATTATATGCATTTTAGTTCATGTGAATATAATTACTCGGAATGCTTTTATTTGATAAGTAATTTAAAGAGTGAATATTATCATAACACCAACATTGAAGATGAAAATTAAAATTTTAACGATAAAATATATAGATATATTATGTGTATAGGTAAGGTTAGATATTATAATATTTATACTCACTATTATAAAGTTTTGTCAATAATTATGCATACTTAAATTCAAACTTACTTAATGAGTAAAACTCTTACTCATTCATCGTAGGTAGTTTATAAGTATTCCACACCATTTACTGTGTTTCAATATAATAAGGTTTAGTTCTGATAGAGCATAGTTGAAAGAGATGAAATAAAAAGAGGGGTGTGGAGGCCACAAAGAGGTGGCTGCTTGTGGTTGAAAAGAAAGTAATAATAATGATAACGGTGTCCCTACAATCTCTATAGCTATGCTTCTTCACACTGTTCTTTCAAATACACTGCTGCCTCAGACACTAATTTCAATACGTAGCTGCAACTGCATGCCTTTCTATTTTCTAAACCTCTTCTTTTCTTCCATATTCATAGCCATCACAACATTGAAAATTTATGTGAAATTTATCTCATTCCAGAAGTTTTTTCAATATAGATTCGAATATGAGGATAAGAATTATCTTATTTTAAATAGAAATAAAAAATAAAACAAAGAAGATGTTATTTAAATTAGTAGAAATAAGAGAAAAAAATTATTATATTTTTCTTCTTTTATTTGAATGGATGAAAAATTAAATTACATACAAATTAAACTTCTTAATACATTTCTTTGTCTATAATATTTAAAAAGCATCTTTTAAAAATAAATTATAAAATAATATAAATTCACACTCTCTCCTTCTGCTATGCCAAAATTGCAGCAACTAGGGAGGCAAATTACATTACATTTAGATTCGTGCTTTTCTTTTTAGTTTTAGTAGACTAAAAAGCATCAAGACAGTGTTTAGAAGAAATTTTAAAATTTAAAATAATAATAAAAGATGTTTAGAGTGAGAGTTTAATATAAAAAGTTAAGTATAATAAAGAAAGTTTTAAATTATTTTTAAAAATTAGTCATTTAAATTTTTTTTATTTGACATAAAATTTAGTAGTATTATAAATATGAATTTTTTTTATTATTCAGATAATAAATTATAAGAATTTTAAAATACCGCATTAAAACATAATTTAAAAATTTATTTGAGAATTCAGAAGAATAAAGAAGGAAGTAATTTAAAGTGTAAGGGTAGAGGAGAGAAGAATTAATAAAAAAAAAAATATTTAAATTAAAAGAATTTTAAAATATAAACTTAGAAAAACTTTAAAAATTTTATAAAATACATATTTTACTCTTGAAATAATTGCTTTATATTTTTTCTATGTAATTTTATTGCATCCAAAACAAAACTTATCTAAATTTAAGTTGATGGAAGAATATCTTGCGTGGGGGTTTGCTTCCTAAGAGGTGACCTTTCACTTTCTTATCTTTACTCCAATTTTTTATTTTTATCTACTTTCTTGTTAGGTAGCATTTCACATATAAAAAACACCAGAAAAGTTAAAATATATATTACGTTTTTTTATTTTTTATTTTTTTATCTGTTAATATTACATCTTACCCAGTTTTTCTATGTAATTTTTTCTTTGTTTTTCATTTTAAAAACTGATGAAATAGAATATAAGGTTACAACTTCAATAATTTAGACAGATAATATGTCTCCTTAATGACAAGGCCAATCATTTAAGTATGAAAGTAGGATATTATTAAAGTATATCGCTCCTGAATATCAAGGAAAAATCTTTTGAAGTAGTTATAAAAATAAATAAATTATTATTTCTTTGGTCTTTTTTATAAAAAATAAAATTGAATATTTTTTTGTCTTTATTATAAGAAATAAATAATAAATTTAAGATATATTAATTATTAAAAAATTATATTTTTTTATCAGTATCATTAAATATATAAATTACTAATTATATTATTTAATATCATAGTATTTTTAAAATAAAATTTATATTTATGAAAAATATAACAGAGTTAATTTTTTTTTAGTCTTAGTAATTTAAAATGTCTTTTGTTTCTTATAAAAAGTACCAGAGGGAGTATTTTTAAATACTGATTAAGAAAATAAAAATTATTAATTATTAATAATTAACTAATCCTTAAAAATTAAATGTAATAACAATCATATTATTCCTTAAATAATGAAAATTAAATGTATACTTACTGAATTACATTTCTATAACCAAACAAATATTTATTTTAAGAATTAAGCAAACAAAACATACACTTATAGACTAATTAGGTAGATATTGAAATCACTGATGAAGCTAATTTTAGTATTGGTAAAAAAAAGATTAAAAAAATCCCAAGATTATTGGGTTAAGGATGTTTTCAGTGATGAAAATGGTTGATTTGATGGGTCCCATGTTTGGTGACAAAACAGATTCGAAGCTCAAATGTGACGAGCCACTACCTTACACTGTTACGCATACATAGCCGCCTTCCACTATTTCCAATTCAACTTTTATTTTTAATTCAATTCAAATAATAGAATAAAAAATTTATATGTAATTTCAATTTTGAATTTCAGTAAATATAATAATATTAAATAGAATAACTTGTAATAGAAAACATATGTGCTTTAGATTAAAACAAATTATATCTTAAATATTACAGCATTGATATGTTTGTGTGTTAATGGTTTTCGTCTATTAAATTTTTCTCAAAGATCATGTGCTATTATATAAGTTTTTTTAATAAGTTGTTATGAAATTAATATTTAAAAAATATAAAGCAATAATCAAAATTATATATCATTATTTTAATCTTTTAACAAGAATTAAAGTGATCACATTTTAAAATTTTTAGAAACTAAGGTAGTGATAAAATCTTAATGAATTAATATAATGGATTGTGACTTTTTAAGAGAATAAACTAATAAAAAAAAAGCGCAAAATTACAGTAAAAAACGCTGACACACTGTTTAAAGTCGATTTGAATATTCATAAATTCCTGGCATTTCTGCAGCATACAGTGACAGATAAGATTAAGAAGGCGCATTATGAAAGAGAGAAAGTGTCTTTGCCTCATTAGGTGCTTTTGTTTGTTTCTTAGTTCACTCATTGGATCCATTCAAACCCACATGACAATATGACCAAAATGCTTAATAATTTTGGATTCTATATCCTAATTCATTCAATTTTTTAATCATATTTGAATTAAATTTAGACTTCTATTTTATGATTCAAATAGGCTTAATCATTATTAACACACAAATTGACAGGTTTTTTTTTTATACATGATCATTGTTTTTAAACCATGCAAATTGTAACTAAGGCCAAAAATAATTTCTTGCATTTTTCTTTTCTTCATGTGAATATCAACAAGACTAGAGAGCTCATTTTCTCATGAACTTGTTAAGGAGGGGAAGTGAGGGGAGACTATTTTGCATCAAACTATTACTGTTTTTTGAATTATTATTAGCCATAAGGAAGCAAATAGGCATAAAATCATAACTGGCTTGGCACTGGGTGTGTGACATAATTACAGCTTCAATGACATGTTTCTATGCTTTCCAATACTTCCAATTGATGATAGGACCAATAAAAATAGGCAAATAGTACATTGTTTTATTTAATAGCTTTTATTGGATCCATAGGCCAGGCTCAATATTTGTACTAGATGCCCAATCTGAAGGAACACCTAAGATGGGTTGCAGAGTCACAGAAGGCAATGAAGGGGTGGCAAAAAGAGGAAACAAATGGTGTTATGTAGACATAAAAGTGAGGAACATATTGATGGAGTAGCCATCATGTAGTAGCACAAAGTCAGTTACATTATTCATATGGTAAGAGTCATTCACTTGATATTGTGATGCTAATGGGCGGCTACTAGCACACTCCACTAGCTATTTTCCTTTCTAAATTAGTAGCCGCAATCCAGCTTTGGATTAATAATGACCATTTGATTTTCATGAAAACATTATTTAGAATAGATATTCATACCACAATTCCTTTTTGTGAGGTCACCTATGCTTGGAAGGTACCTTAAGTGTAGTTGAATTTTATGGTTGGTATTTATTCTATGTTTACTTTTAAATAAACTTATTGTATGGTTGGTATTATTGATCTAGCCAAGGGACTCAGGTTTGAGGTTTTTCAAATCAAAATGGCTATTTGAAACTTTGAATGAAGTGGGGGAGTAAGTGGGGAAGGGGGGATGGTAACACACTTTGTAAGATGTGATGAGTGATGATGTATATATATATAACTAAATTCAATTCAAGGGAATAATAAATTTTTGTTAATTATGCAAAGGGCCAAATGAAGGAAGGTTCTACGAAGGTAACAGCAAACTTTTGTTTGTGTGGGATAAATGCAAGGGTAGCTTTGTTCTTCATCAAATCAAATAAGTAATTAAAATAGGAGAAAATGCAATCTTGTACTGTTGCTTCTTCTTGAAGATACCATTTTCCTTGTGGTCTCATTGGTTTGGACTTATTCAAAGACTCAAGATGTTGTAGACAAGACACTTGTCAAAGGTTATTTTGTGGTCATAAAGTGTGTTTCAAAACCCAAATCATTATTTATGCAAATCTTTATACGGTGCAGCTTTTGTCTAAATCATAATTTGGATATTACAAACACAAAAAACAACCAGACTGAAAGTAGTATAAACAATTGAAACACTCTGCATTCCTCAAGTAAATCACTGCAAAGACAAAGTACAATTAAGATTCCTCATTCAAATGAGATTGTTTCTAATGTAAGTCCTTCTTGTCATGGAACTAACTATTTTGGAACTTTAAACTCTCGACAAAACTCAAAAAGGTGTAATTTATAGTTGTTAAGAAAAGGTGGGCAAACAAGAATTACACGATTAAAGGTAGTATGCCCTACTCACAAACAGACAAAGAAATGGCTTTTGATTAACTTTATTAAATGACTTATAAATAACATATACCAAAAAAATAATTTACATAAAACAAAATAAACAGATAAATCTTTATATTATTACTATAATTAACTTGAATATCATTACCAACGCAAACACCATAGTATTTGTAGCACTTTTAACCAGCATGTGTATAAGAAACCCACACTATCCCACATAAATGTAGCAACCAGTGTATGTGTGAGTGTAACAACAAACAAAGATGTTGAAGAGTGTACTATGGCTCATGTATAGTAGGAAACTTCAGCACAACATGTGGCTTCCAAATCATCAAACCTGGTACATACTGCAGCCACGTGCTCAGAAAAAAACATGGAATTAACTGGTAACTATGGTTGATGATAATTGATAGAGTGCATAAAAACAAGAAAATAATGCTTAGGAGACTTCTTTGATTAAAATGAAAACCCATTAACTCTACCTTCCAAGAAACCTCGCAATCTTTTTGTCCCACTTCTGATTAGACCCTTGTTTTTAATTCTTTCAATTGAAAGCACTATCCGACAAGTGAACAGTTTATTTAGGAGACTTAGTCACATGTTTAATTTTGGCTTAATTAATGTTGACAACTTAAATTTAATCTCTATTTATTTCGCAATATAATCTTTATTTTTTTATAAAACATTATTTTTAATTACTCCATTTGATGTGGTTTAGACTACTTCAATTAAAAAGGCTAAAAACAATAATTTGTAAAAAAGTAAATAATATACTTTAGTAAAATATTTTATAAATACTAAGTTTAAGTTATATAACTTTTATAAAACTAAATATTTAATTAAATCTTTAAAGATGAGTTTAATGGCTCTAGCTAGAATCTAGAATCTACGTTATCTCCAATTTGATACTAGTGGAGTAGGGGTTAACAGCTGAGTTTGTGAAACTGATCTTTTTGTTGACCAATTTTCAGCCCCCTGATTGGACTTGGTCTACTGAGACAACGTTTCCATCTTATTTTATTTTATTTTACAATATTAGTTAATAAATAAAATAAATATTAAAATAAATTCATCCAATTTTAAAAATAATTTTTGTTAGTTTTTTAATCAATCATTAACAAGACTCTTCTATTATTGTATTAAAAAAAATATTAGAATGGTTTATAGATCACAATGAATGGTATAGAACAAACGCACTAACGTGCTCATCTTGGGGCCCAAACCTAAGTAGATTTTAGACAGTATTATTGGCAGCTAATGTGTTATAAAGAACAAATTACAATTATTAGTGAATGAATAAATGGATGCTATTGAAAATAAGTACATGTGAAACATGAGCTGAAGAGTGATGGACACAAAAGGTGTGTTTTGCATTTAAGTAAATTTTGAAAATATATTAAAAGATTAAGTTACAAAGAAAAATGTATAATTGATTTAAAAGAATTTGAACATGTACTTAAAAATTCAAAATGGAATAATAATGTCATTGTTTAAAAGAGAATAAACTAAAAGATTAAATAATATATTCTGATTTAATATATAAAAATAAAACAACTCCTTTTTGGATCAGGACAAGTGATTTAAATATAGTATAAAGAATTGATATTAACAAGAAATATTTAATTAAACCATTAAAAGTAATTATTTTGATGATAAAAACAGTTTAAATTCAAAGAAAAAAGTTGAAAGTTGAAAAATACTAATAACATGCTTTTTAAAATATAAAAATAATATGAAATTATAAATTTATTGCAAATCAAGAAAAAATATAATAAAACTTTATCTCACCCATGAAAGTAATATTTATATTTTATTATGTATGTGTCATATAGACTTTGACATAGACTATTTCTTCATAATAATCAATGAATAGGAAAATGATCATTAGTAATGCATATCAATAGATGTTATTGAATGTTTAATGTTCAATTGACTGCATTGAGTAATTGTCATATTCATTCATGTGGTCAAATAATTCAAAATGATCGTTGAATTGAAGAGAATGGGCCTTAGTTTTGGGGATCAATGCAAATGTCCATGGATTATGGGTTTCCAAATTTATGTGTAGTGTGCGTTTTCACTATGTTTATTATTAGATTTAAGGTAATTTCATTTCGCATCCTTCTTTTTTCTAATTAAAGAACTCTTTTATATATTTTCAAAATTAAAATCTAAAATATATTAATCACTTACAAAAATACGTTTGAGAAATCATTTTTGAAAATTAATTTCTTAAAGGGTGGTGAAATTTTTAAAAAAAAAAAAAAAAAAACTAGCATTACTCGTGTTAGAGGATGATGAAGTTGGAGCTTCAGGCCTCTTATAGAAAGTGCATAAGTTATAGTCTCTGCAACAGTTGAAAGCCCAATTGTGACAAAAATATAATTGAAAACCCAATTGTGTAGTCTAAACCTAAAAAAACGTATGGGCTATAGGCCCAAAATGCAAACTCGAATCCACAAGCAAATGGGACCCGAAGTTGGCTTCGTGAAAGAATAAGAAAAAAAAAAAGCTTATATTACGTACTGTAATAATTCTCTTATTATTTAATATTTTTTTTAAAAATAAAAATTTAAGGATATGTTTAATTTTTCTTTTAAAAAGAGTTTTTTATTTTTATTTTTAGAAATCAAACATACTCTTAGGTGAGTGAAATTGTAGAAAGCTTATTAAAGTAAGATACATCTTAAAATTCAAAAAGCTGTTTAATCCTCTGCTTAAAAAATCTTCACTTCCGGTAATAAAACTTTAACCATACAATTACAGTTCTTACAAACTAAATCAATTTTTTCTAACATTATTTAGCAGTTAAATTTTTTATTTATAAAATTTTGACAAAATAAAATAAAATAAAATATTCTTGAGAAATAGAATTAACTTCTGAAAAGTCAACAATATATATATATATATGTGATTTAAAAAATTATAACCATAACATACCACTTTAGTATTAAAACTAATATAAATTACTGAAATAAAATACTAATTTTAATTATCAAATAACACTAAAATATACCTCTGCTTATTAAACAAGTGCACCCAGTTTTTTCTTTCCAATAATAAACTGCAAAAGCAACGCACCGTTTCGGAGAGAGAAAGAAAAGGGTTTTTGATTCCCATTTCCCAGAGCGAACACAGCGATAGATTTTTTAGCTCGCTCTCTCAGGTTTCTTTCTCAATTCAATCCTTGCCCCCCATTTCTCCATCTACAAAATCCAACCTTTTTTTTTTGTTGATTTATCATTTTCAGTTGCACGATTCCATGTTTGTTTCGTTCTGTGCTCATCGATCTGTGATTTTCTAGCTCTACAACGATCTTTCTTCTTTTGTAAATAGCATTCGGTGACTTTTAAGCTTAAAAAGTTGGCATCTTTATTTGTTTTCGTAATTAGGGTTTTAACTTTTAACTCTATTTGTTTCGTATTATTATTATTGGGCTGTTGATCAAAAGAGCACTTGGGATATCTGTTAAGAAGAACAGTATATTGGATTTGACTATTGTTTTTTGTGCTGCATTTTATCAATTTTGTTTATTGGTTTCATTTGTTGCATATGCCTTTATTCTTCTTCATTGTTCTTCTCTATTGCTTATCCTAGATTTTTTATTGTTATTTTTAATTTTCTCTTTCAGTTTTCTTAATTACTATTTTCGTTTTACATAGGTTTCAGTAATCATGGCAGACGAAGCACACAATGATGTGAAGGAGGAGGTAGCTGAAGTAAGTTTCTCCCTTGGATTTTAGTAGTTTTATGAAATGGTTTCTCTGTATATGTTTCACTTGGTTGGTTATGAGGGTGAGCAAACTGAGGTTTTCAGTTATTTTGTGTGAATTGCCATTTCCGATTATGGGATTCAATGCCTGGTATTTCTAGGGGCAACCTGTTTGATTAGTGCTTCAGTTTTGTTGGAACTTTACAATAACTTTATGTAATACCTGAGTTTACTAATGGCAGATTGCTCCATTTGATCCTACAAAGAAGAAAAAGAAAAAGAAGATCACAATTGTAGATCCTGCTGATGATTCGGTGGACAAGTTGGCTGAGAAGACAGAAAATCTGACAGGTACAAATTGAAATAAGCTTCTTTGTTGGCTTTTTATTTATTTATTTATTTAATGCAAGTATTCGAGGCATCTGTAATTGTGTTTATGCCTGGTTGATTGATTCTATTTAGCTTTTCAATTGTAGTATCTGAGGGGGTTGAGAGTACATTTACTGGTTTAAAGAAGAAGAAAAAGAAGCATGTAAGTTACGGCTTTCTATTTTTTATTAGATTTATGAACAATTTATTCTTCTTTCAATAATTTAAGTGTTTTGTTTGATGAAGCTAGTTTTAAGTGGGAAGCAATTTCACATATGATACTTTTTGTGCGTGTGGATTGTAGGTTGAAATCAGTAACTTAAATGATGAGAGTGGAGATGCAAATGAAGATTTGGATGGTAAGCAGTTAGTTCAATGCATAAAACATATGTCTGACCTTTAGGGACTGCATATTAGTTCTACACCTGATGTCTTTAGGGAGGATGGTTGAATGAAGGTTTGATAAATTTTGTCTAGATCACGCTGAAGAAGATGAAGAAGATGTTGCTTCCTTGCAGCCCCGTTATCCTTGGGAAGGGAGTGACCGTGATTATAAATATGAAGAGGTATAAAATATTTTACATGCTTTCTGCTATGATATGCCTCTCCCTTAAAATCTCATTCTAAAATTATTGTCTAATGTTCTTAATTCTTAGCTTCATCACCTAGTTTTAAAAATGTTTCTGAACATATATTTCTTTCTATGTGAGTTTGAATATCAGGTTTGTGGCTCTTGTGAAACTTCCCATAATATCAGCTTATTTTTTTCATAGGCTGTCTTTGGGTGTTGAAATGAACTGTTGTTTAAACCCATTAATTAATGATTTACAAGCACCTCAGCTGTATTTCTGGTTTTATAGAATCTGCATAAATATTCTTTGTCATTGTTGAATCAAGAAATGACTTTTTTGTGACCTCATATAAAGGTCACGTGTATAGTTGTATTGTTGGTGTGGAATCTCCAACTATTTCTTCAGCCTTGGCGCCATCTTCTAATTTCTTTTTATTCTGTGCAGCTTCTTGGCAGGGTGTTTAACATTCTTCGTGAGAATAATCCAGAACTTGCTGGAGACCGCCGGAGGACTGTTATGAGGCCTCCACAAGTACTACGTGAGGGCACAAAGAAAACTGTTTTTGTGAATTTTATGGATCTGTGCAAAACGTATGTTTATGTTTTATTCTTCTGTTGGCTATTTGCATAACACCTCTTGCCAAATGTTTTCATCTTCCCTTCTCTCCTTTTGCTGATGTATTGCTATTGAATCTTTTAGGATGCATCGGCAGCCAGACCATGTCATGGCTTTCTTGCTTGCTGAACTGGGTACGAGTGGCTCTCTAGATGGACAGCAGAGGTTGGTTGTGAAGGGAAGATTTGCACCAAAGAACTTTGAAGGAATTCTGCGACGATATGTCAGTAAGTATTTATTCCAATATTGGCATTGCATTATATCATTCCTCTTTCTTAGAATAGATTTTGTAATAAATTCAGGTGATTCCTATTTGTTTGATGCCTCCATGGTGTCTCTGTTTGTATTTTTTTGGTTACTGCATTGCTGTGTATGAGGCCTTCAGGGTAAAAATTGACCTATATTTTGATTTTTCAGATGAATATGTTATTTGCCTTGGATGTAAAAGTCCTGACACTATACTTACTAAGGAAAATCGTTTGTTCTTTCTCCGGTGTGAAAAGGTGAGCATTATTACTCTCTCCATTCTCAAAGAAAATGAAAGTTTCTGTCTTTCTGGCAGTTCGTTTATTCAATTTTTTATCTAATTACTTTACCAAGGTGGCCTTGGGTGATTTGTAGGTTTTTGGTAATCACTTTGTTCCAATTATTTTTGTTTCTGTTTCTCTAAATGATTTGTTTCCTCAAGTAGCAATGATCTCTATTGAGGTTTAATGAAATTAGTTATACTGGTTTTCCTTCTAGTTTTAGAAAACTCCACATCTTCACTTAGTTAAACCTTTATTAATTACACACACTCCTTGCTTAAAGTTTTTCGTTTAGAAGAGGTGATTGTGATATTTTAAACTAGAGAAGTCCTTATAAATTCATCCAGTCTCGAGAGATCAAAGAAATTTTCCTTTTATTCTCTTTGCATGCTCTAATAGTTTCTACTCCCCTCGATTCTATTTATAAGAAATAACTATCAACAAATTTTATTTAAATTATAAGAAACAAAGACTCATTTTCAGATATACTAATTGTTAAAGGCCATATTTGAGTAAACTTTTTGAGAAGTTATACAAGAAAAAATTAGTATAAAAAATGAATAATTTTTTTCTCATAAGTTAGAAATAACTTATATTTCTCTAATTTTTTATATGTTTTGAAAATTTTTCTCATTTAACTTTTTTAAAATTTGACGAGATAAGTTGTTTTTAACTTATGAGAGAAGTTTTATTTATTTTTTATACTAATTTTTTTCTTCAATAAGAACTTCTCTACAAATTCACCCAAACAAAATCAAATTCTTATACCTTTATTTATTGTGAGATTTGTATTGAGGAGATATCCACCAATTACTTATGTGCATAAATATATTTATTCTTTTAATGTATGAGTTACTAATTTGACCATTTATTATTATAAATAATTTTGGAATATATTATAAATTCATGATATATAACTATTTTTAATTGATATTAGTGAATTAGTTATTCTTTTGCTTATTAAGAGGATTGGAGAGAGTATTGTTTTAGAAATATTATTATACAAAATCACTGAAATCATTATGTTTATGAGTTTACTGATGCTGTGCTGAATAATAGGTTTTTCAATTTTATTTTTAAGACAGACATTATTCTATTGGATATCTTACAATACTAGTTTGTTGTTTGCAGTGTGGATCAGGAAGATCAGTTGCTCCAATCAAGGCAGGCTTTGTTGCTCGTGTTGGCCGTAGGAACGCTGGGACATGATTTGATTTTAGTTTTCATAAATGTATGTTGACTGGCTGAGGAAACCTTTTACTGAATTTTGTTTTGCCTTTGAATGATGTATAACATACATAGTTGAGTTTGTTGCAGTAAATTTTGGGTTGTTTTGTTTTTCAAGCTTGGCATAAAAGGAATAAATGAACTTATATTCTTAAACGAAAACCTAACAAATATTTTTGTATGACGTATAAAATCACCTTCACATGCCCACTGAAATAATAGTGTAACATACTTTTTTTGTGCATTAAGGGTGTCCCTTTTCCTGATAGACAAACACTAATGTTTTTCAAGACACAGACTTTACCTCTCTTAACAAACCTTCTGTGATATACATAATAAAAAATTGAACCATGATTAATAAGTTTAAGGGATCTAATTATGTACTAATAATACCAAATTTTGTCAATGTATAACGTTTCAATTTTATGTAAGGATCAAAACCATAACAATTTACTGAATGAATTGTTCTGTTTATTTATTTCATTTTCCTTTCCAAGATTCCATGCCTGGCCAGATGGAACATGCTTTCTATTTTTATTTTTTTGGTACAACTTAAATTTTACAAATGTTTTAAATAAAAATTCTAAAATAGAGAAAATAAATTTTAGTTGCGCTATCGATTTTATTTTATATTTTTTCTTTAAATATCTTCATATATTATTTTTTAAAATATTACTTTCTGAATATACTTTTAAATAGTAATTCTCGGATATTGATGAATATATTGTTGAAAATTAATTTCAACTTTGTAAAATGTTATCTCTGTTTATTTGACTAAATGATTTTAACACTATAACCTATGCATTGAATATCATTAATTTCTTTTCATTAAATTTTTTTATTAAAATTAAAAAAATTTATTGCTAACTCTATGCATTTAATGATACAAGTATTTCATATATTATATCAATATTTTTAAATTCAAGTCACATTCAATGAGTCTAAAGAATTAAATATTTAATAAAAAATTATATTTATGAGATACTTTATCTAAAAGAATTTCAATGCAAACTTAAGAATGGTATTGCCTGGATAAAATACACTTACAGATCAAATTACTCTAAAAAATATAGTTTAATTTAATAAGCAAAATATAATATAAAAAATAATTTAAAATTATAAGTTAGTAAAATTTAAATAAAAACAAAAAGTAATATCATATTTTATATATATTTATATAACTCTAAGGCATAATATTTTTTAACGGAATATTATTAAGAACTTAAAATTTAATGGTCGAATTAATAAAATTTAATATTTATAAAAAATTATTAAGTAGATTAACGGCTTATTTATTTTTTTAATGTTTTTTAAAAAATAAATTCTTAAAATAATATTTTTTAAAAACAAATTTCATGTCTGAGGTCTTTTTTGTCACATCATGACCTGTTTCGCATATTGTATGGACGAAATATTTTTTTTTTATTTTTTAAATGTTATTTCGTCTTTAATAGAGACGAAACTATCATAGTGCGTCACGTGTCAACATCTAGTAATTTTCGCCTACTGCAGAGACGAAACTCAATGAATGGTGCCATGTTTCATAATCTGGATCAATTTACGAAAGTAGCTAAAAAAAATTTATATTTTAATATTTAAATAAAATTTATTAAAAATAGAAAATTATAAAATTTAAGAATAAAAAAATTATATAATTTTTAATTAACTTAATTAACAACTACAAATATATTAAAAATATATATTGAAATTACACTATGTACAATGTATGACGCAAAAAAGAATATCTGCTAATAAAATTATAAATTTATAATGGCAGCATTGGAATTTAATGGAAATGTATTGGAAAAAAATATAATATTTAATTAAAATATATTAAAATAAAAAAATCATAATATTTAATTTAAGAATAAATTATTAAAATTTAAATAATTTTTAATTAAATTAATTAATAATTATAAATATATTAAAAAAATATAGTGTTAAGAATTTGTTAATCTTAGTTTAAATATCTATAAAAATTATAAAAAATACATATTTATTATATAAATTATTAAGATTTTTAAATATCACACCTAACTTACAAATTAGCTTGAATAAAAAAATTATAAATTTATAATTTTATTAGCGAGTATTCTTTTTTACGTCATACAATATACATTTTTAATATATTTGTAGTTGTTAATTAAGTTAATTAAAAATTATATAATTTTTTTATTCTTAAATTTTATAATTTTCTATTTTTAATAAATATTAATTAAATATTCAAATATATTTTTTTTAACGATTTTCGTAAATTGATCCAGATCATGACACATGGCACCATTCATTGAGTTTCGTCTCTGCAGTAGGTGAAACACACCAAATGTTGACACATGGCGCAATCTGATAGTTTCGTCTCTACTAAAGACGAAATAGCATTTAAAAAATAAAAAATATATATATTTCATCTATACAGTATGCGAAACAGGTTTTGACGTGGCAAAAAAGACCCCAAACAGGAAATTTGTTTTTAAAAAATATTAAAAAAATAAATAAGCCTAGATTAACTCTATCAAAATTTCAAAATTACACATATACGTGTAGGTGCAGATTTAAATTTAAAATGAAAATTTTTTATTTCATAATTTATTTTTTGAATTAAAATATTTAAGATATATTGTAAAAATAGAAACTAAAATATATAAATTAAAATATTAAATTTCATATAAATTATTCTTTAAAATGCAAAAATTTATATAATGTCATTAACTATTCATGATATTATAATTTTAGTGCAAAATGATTTTTAAAAGTTAATATTAATAAAAATTTTATTTGCATTAAATAATTTAACTAAATTACCAATTGTGGAAGATTTATTTTCTAAATTTTATTATACAAAAAGAGTAACTAATTTTGTATTCAAAAAAGGAAAGATGTTTAAATTTTTACTAATTTTTTAAAAGTATATCTACATTGTTAAAAGATTGTATCGTAATTTTTTACCTAAAATGTCAAATATTTTTAAAACCAACCTTGTTTGCAACTTCTAAGTTTTCATGCTCCTGCATGTGATAGGTCACAGGTCTAAGCTTTCACTTGTTTTTCTAAGGCAAAATAAATGTAAGTAATTTATAGATATTCTTTATATCTGACAAGTTTTCTTATTTTCAAATGGAGAATTATTTCCTTCTCCTAAAATTCACTTAAAAATTATATATTTTTAACAATAAATTATCTATTCAAAGGTATGATAAAAAGTTATCTCCCCAAAACACTATTTTATCCTTTAAGTATTGATTGCCTCTCCTATTTTTTTAACATTATATTTAATTTTTCTTAAATAGACAAGTAGGAAACTAATTTCAATTTTGTTAAATATTATTATTTTGTAAAACTGTCACCTTATGCATGCATTCAACGGTATTATTAATTATAATAATAATAATAATTTGAATGTCATTATTAATAATATGTTATCAATAATAAGATTTTGATATAAAATCATCTTGAAATTCATCAATGCATGTACTTTAGCTTCTTTTTTCCAGGTTCATTCTAACAGGAAAATTGAAGGGATGGAATCAAGAAAGACACATTCATGGTGGCAGGGCAATCACATCACTCCCAAGACTTCTAAATGGCTTTCGGAAAATGTTAAAGGTATGCAATGTAATGTAAACTATGTATAATTGGAATAATATTTGTATGTCTTCTTATTTACTTTACTTTATTCGTTGTCAAAAGCTAAGCAAAATGTGTCAAACAAGAATGCTGAGAAAAGGGCATGTCCTTGTTACTTTCTTAATGTTTGTTATATGATATAGCATTTCATAAATTATGTTGTGGAACCAAGCCAAATATATATATAAACATTAAGGGGGTCCAATAATTATTGATTAAACTGAACTGGTTGAGGTATTTAATAAGGGATATATAACGTTTTATTTTTTTTAAAAATAGAATATATAATATGAAATTTATCTTTTTAAATCTTATTTCCTATAAATCCATTTTTAAATATTCGATGACTCTGTAATACTCAATTTTTATTTTTCGTTTGGATTTGTTATCTTCTAACTCGACCTAATGAATCCTATTATTATTATTATTATTATTAACTTTAATTTTTATGGTCAGGGTCAAGTATTCAAAAATAATAATTTTTTAACTAATTTTTTTTTCATTATTATTATACACGCACTGAACATTTTTCCCCATTTATCATTAATATTGAACCACACCAACCTTACAACAATACAACGTAAATTAACTCTCTCATCCACATGTATATAACAAAGTCTTAATCTTCTGTTCTTCCAATGACAATTGTTGCTACTGTTAAGGATTGTTCCACATTCTAAACAAGGAAAAGTTAAAACAAGTAAACAAAATAACGTAAACATTGGTGTCACATATTATAACATCTTGTCTCAACAATCTTCTCCTGCAAAAAAAATCACCATTCCCAACTTTGAAGTTGGGAAGGGTGATTCAATTTCATATTTTTTTCAATCTCGAAGTAACTCTATTTCATGCAATAATAACCATTTATTTATCATCACAATGACCTTCAAGAAGTTGACAAAACGATCTTTAACCTCAGAAATGGAACGCAATGTGAGGCAAATGCTGAAGCTGATTGAAGAAGATGGAGATTCCTTTGCACAAAAGGCTGAGATGTATTATAAGAAGAGGCCAGAGTTGATTTCTCTGGTTGAAGAGTTTTACCGAGGTTATAGATCTTTAGCTGAACGTTATGATCATGTTCAATGTGAATTGATGAAGAACACACCTTGTGATGTTCAATCACAAGCTTCTGATTATGGTTCTGAGCCACCCTCTACTATGCCTTCTCCTTCTCCTAGAAAGTTGGGGCGGCGAATATCGGCGAATCGTGCAGCGGGCTTTGAATTCTTTCTTGGATCTGGTGTGAATGCTTATGATTCATTAACTTTGACAGATTCTGATGATGAATATGATGATACTTCATCTATTAATAGTTTTTCAGGTTTCTATGGAAATGGGAATGATCAAAATAGTATGAATAGAAGGGTGTTGGAATTGGAGATTGAGTTACGTGAGCTGAAAGAAAAGCTTAGCAATATGCAGGAGGAGGAACGTGTTGTGGTGGAGGGTTCAAGAGGAACAAGTGTTGAGAATAATGGTCAAGATTTTCGAGCCAAGGTTGATGCATATGAACAAGAACTGAGGAATGTGAATGAAAAGTTGAGACTTTCAGAAGGGGAGATTAGTAAGCTGAGGATTGAGCTAGAAAGATATAGGTCAATGGAAGCAGATTTGAAGGGTGGTGTAGAAGTATCTTCAAATAAGGATTTGAAGACACTTGGGAAGGAGCTAAGGGTGACCAAAGGAAAACTTGAAAAATCATGTGAAAGTGTTCAGCAATTGCAGGATCAGGTTGACATGGCTCATACGGACATTGCTAATTGGAAATCAAAGTTCAACTCTGAGAAAAGAGAGAGGAGTAGAGTCCAAGAAAGGCTTGCAAGGTTGAGAACTAGTCTTGCAGATAGAGATCATGAGGTAAGGGATTTAAGGGCTGCACTATCTGATGCAGAACAAAAGATCTTCTTTGAGAGAGCACATATGAAGGCTGAGATGTCTAAGTTGGTTGGGGAACAGACTCAATTGGAAGAGAAGATCGAAGAATGGGAATGTCAATGTCATTCTTTAGAAGAGGATATTAGAAAAAATGACTCTAAAGAAGTAGGGATGGGAGAGACACTAAAGGGTGAAATTGAACTTTTAAAGGCATGCATTGAGGACAGAAAGAAAATTATACAAGACCTCAATGTAAGCATTGATGGTTTGCAGTTAGAGAGAGATAATCTCAATGCACAAATTGGTTCACTTAAGGAAGTGATAAATTCTAGAGATAATGAGATTGAAGAGGCATATAAACAAGTAGCGGAACTAGAATCAAGAACTAAGGAACTAGATGAAGAGACTGAGAGGCAAAGGGTTATGATCTTAGAAGGAGCTGAAGAGAAACGTGAGGCCATAAGGCAGCTATGCTTCTCACTTGAGCATTACCGAAATGGGTACAAAATGCTTAGACAAGTTGTCATGCCTTTTTTGGCTACCTAATATATTAGCATGGTTGCATCACTTGCATGTGAATTTGTAAAGCTTCTAGTATGATCATACCCACCCTTAAAGTTTGTTTTTTTTTTTTTTTCTTGTCCACCTTATTATGGGTGCCTAAGATGTCTTTCTTGTGCTTTGTGGTGTGTAATATATATCACCCAAGATTATGAGAAGGTAGAAACTTAATAGTTGTAGTCATGTTTCATGTTTCATGTTTCATGATTCTAAAGTGTCCATCTGGTTCAGTTTGGAAGCTCTGTTGGACCTCCTCTTATTGAGCTGAAGGCCCACAAACAGAAAAGATTGAAGATATATCCCCCCATTTTGTGGTGAATTTTCAGATTTTGTTTACTTTGTTGTAGAACCTCTTTCACTAGGGATACCAGCTCTGTGCTCGTTTTATTTATCGATAAAAAAAAAAAGAAGCAATTATCACCTTTTTCAATAAAAAGTACACATGTTAATTAAAAACTGTGGTTAAGACAAATTGGATTTTATAATAGAAATTTTTTCACTTCAACTACTAGAACGTGTATAAAAATTTTTCACAATCCAAATAACTCTTGCGTATGACTTTTAGGGAGACAAATACACACATTTTCTATATAAAAAATTGAATTCCCAGTTTTTTTTGAAATTTTTAATTTTCTTATCACCAAAACGCATATTGAGAGCATATCTTGGTGTTCAGGTGGTAATTAAATAGTTCACAGAAAAAAAAGGTGGTAATCAAATAAAGTTATAGCAAAATACAATTTTTCTAAGTATAAGTTCTTAACGTTGCAAATATTAGATTCATTTCACTTTTATCGCAATCAATCCTTATCGGATTCTTATTTTTCAAATTGGAACAGCAATTCATTGGCAAAAACAATTAAGAACTTAAACCAACTTATTCTCTTCATAATTTCATTACATCTGCAGCATCTTTTGAAAATATGAACTATGTTTACTTCAATATCTTTTTAAAGAAATTTTAAGACTATTATGACTAATGTAATAATTTAAATACAACATATTAAATTAACCTTTATTGATGATTATTGCGTACATTTATATTTGTGACAAACTATATATTTTAAAAGTATATAAAAATTAAATTACCTAAGTTGATTACATCAGTTAAAATCAGATTATATAAATTAAATTTAATATTATACTTGATCTGATATAAATCATACCGCATTTTTTACAATATTCAGATCCTGTCACTTCTTTACATAAAACCAAACCAAACAATGAATACCCAATTCAAATTACCTCGCCACGGGTGGTTTCAACAAAAAAAGTTGTTCAATTTATTAAATCAGAGATGCATAGTGACCCGTGCTAGATGAGCTCCAAAACAAGAGCATGGATAATAACAGTAATCCCAATTCAAAAAAACAACGCCCCCACTACCACAATTTCGAGGGTCGTATACAAATGCTAAAAAGTACTAACACAAAGAAACAAATTAAACATAGGTGCAAATTAAACCAAGCTAGATATACATTTAATGATGGTAAAATACCTGAGGGAGTAGATGTATATTGGACGCAACACATTTAAAAAGAAAACGTGAGTTTCTAGGATTACATAAGATGCATCACCTATTCACAACTCTACAAAGCATCTAGGCGTCTAGCAAGCTACTTGTTACAAGTGTGCTAGCTACAACAACCGTGTGAAACAATACGTAGACTTGCAAACTGAAACTTCTCCATCTCCAACACTTACCATAAAATGCACTTCCAAGTCAAAGCAGAACATATCAACTAATGCACCAGCAACACTAAAAAAACACAAAAATATGCACAACGAAACGATTAGATAGGGACAAGAGTGAAAAATTGTAGCAAGTGGAGCCATGATAAACAAGTTTGACTAACCAGACCCCCCCAAAATAAATAAACAAAATGGCGTATTACGAACCTTTTAAGGCTTTAGCAATTGTCATCAATCAAATATGGGTGGCATCAGACACTTCATCAATCATCCCAGGCACTATCTGCTGCACCCTCTCTTCTAATGTTTGTGGCAGTAATCATGAATTTATACTTATCTTCAATGTTAATTGAAGCAGCTCCTAATCCTAACTGTTTGGATAAAGCAAAATTTGCCTCTTTTTGTGCAGCTGCCGCTTCTTTCTCTTTCCTTCTAGCAACCTAGAAGCCAAGGGCAGAAAGTCAAGACAAAAGTTTTGTGTATAATATACTGAAATTGAAATACTGTTATGGAGAAATGGAGCATCTTATACACAACTAGTACCAATAGAGTACAACTAGTACAGGCCCAGCCCAATAAATTCACTAAAAGCACAAGAGTCGAGAAAACACTAGTTATACATTTAGTTTACCCTTAAAAATATGGGTAAAATCTGGTTCCTTAATTTTCACCCTCATTTTTAAGGGTATGCAAGCGGACCATAACAGTCTTAATATTCTAGCAGAATAAATATTGTACCTTTCCCGTTGCAAATGTCAGTGTATTCCCAGATTCAGCATCAGCTATTGCTTTCCTTATATTTGCCACAAGAAACTAAAAGCAGAATCATGTATTAATGTTAAAATCAAGAGAAAAAAGCACAGATCAAATCTTCTTTTACAGAAAAAGGAGGATAGCAAGCACCATGTCACGATCTGTGTAAAAAGAAGTAGCTAGGCCTGTTGATCCAGCACGCCCCGTCCTTCCAATCCGATGTACATAATCTTCCATGGTCTATAATTGAGGCAGCCATAACTGAAGCTTCAGGTATGCATTTCTCAAGGAAATTAAATTTGACTGAAATACCAGGCAAATGAGATGCCAAACTAGCCGTAGCAGAATGGCAATCCACTAACAGTGGAAAATCCCCGTACGTTTTCTGATAATCTTTTCCTAGTGGATTATGGATAAAACTCAATCATCAAGTAGTTTTTGCTTGGAGCAGAAATACCTTTGGAAGATCTAGATTGATGACATGTGACACTCCGGTGACATCCAAGCCACGAGAAGCGACATCAGTGGCAACCTGCATGATATGGTATCAATGATTAATATGGTAAGTGGATAAAAATGCAAAACTTTATTTAATGTAATTATGCAAAAATTGCTAAAAATTCAATATTTTAACTAGAATTACCATAAGGAAAAAGGAATTTGCACATGCATATCAAAGACTTGTGTTAAGCATGCAGACAAAGCAATGCATGGTATTTTAAATGGAATAATTAAAGAGAAATTGGGAAATTTTGGATCATAAAAATAACCATTTAAGCCTAAATATTTTTTCCTTTTCCATATTAGACATAGCATAGAATTTCATTTAGCAAACAAAGGGAATAATCAAACCAGAGATGGGTTCACAGAATTTAGACAAGCCACGACTGACTTTTTTCCAACAATATTTCGATAACTGCTAAATATCCATCAAGAATCATTAATTATGATGAGTCATGACGAAATATTGTAATTTGTAGAGAATAGCAGATTCTGTAGGAAAGCAAAAATAAGAAAAAAATGTACTGAGAATATTATGCTCCAGCACTGCAGGAGGACTTACCAAGATGCTGGTGGAGCCACTCCGAAAATCATTCAAGGCAGCCTCTCTTTCACTCTGACTACGACCACCATGAAGAGATACTGCAGATAATCCTTGAGCTACCAATGCTTCAGCAACTTCATCACACCTTGCCTACATTATATAGTATATACACAAAAACAATAATGAGGATAAACATATAGATATCAATTTCCAGAGGCTACTGAGATTTTTTAAGCTAAAATAAAAACAATCGACTTCAACTTTGACCCTCTATCAAACTAAATTCGATTTACTGTTTTAGAACTAATCCACTTAAACTCTAAGTATCTAGCAACCAACCAATATCACTCCCTAGTTAACTTAACCTATTTCTCACTAAATAAAAGAAAGCAAGGAAATTATATTAATTAAGATCAGTTTGGCAAAAATTCATACAACCATAATGACCCTGAACAAAATTCTTTTAATTTCATTGTTCATATTGGATTTTATATATTTATTGCATTTTGCTGACCTCACCAAGTAGGATAATAAGGCATATTGTTGGATGAAAGGGGCAATGTGTATTTGCCAAAATTTCAGTTGAATTTGCCAGGTTACATTTGAAGCAATCTATTTGCCATCTGCCCCATAAAACGATACTTAGTTATGAAAATAAAGTTCCAGGAATGCATGAACAAATTTGGCACAAAGATCAAATTAAAAAATATCATTTCCTACCACGTAGTGTTTGGAAACTAAATCCAACAATTCTAACTTGAGCTTCGTTCAATTAGATAATGTAGTATTAGTTACAATATGCAAGAAAAGACAACAAACGGTTAGGTTAAGTCACAGTACAAAAAATGAAAAAAGTTAAAATGAAAATAGGGATATGTATGCCATGCTTAATGGATAATTCTGCATGCCTAACCATAAACATTTTATGCATTTAACTTGTCTTTTTCTATCTAAACATGCATGTGATAATACAAGTGTAGATATGATATTGATACATAGCAGGGACACAGAACATAGCATACCTTTCTCTCAACAAACACAATTGTTAATGGAAATGGATGACCACATTTTTCTGCCTGTGAAGCCTCCTCAACAAGCAAGTCTAGAAGCCGATCAATCTACAAGAACATGATAAATTTTCCGAACGGAAGCCAAAAGAATGAGAAACCAAAATAAAAGACAAATACAATCATGCGTATAGCCGCATACAAGAAAGCATATGGTCAAAATGTTTAGATAATTCATTCATTTTCTTTATCCATTATCCTTAATTTTCTTCTTTCTCATCTCTATAAGTTTTCTCATTCTCATCCCATTCTCCCAGTGTCTTTACTTTTACCCACATGTGTGCCCCATGCCAAGTATTTAGAACTTGCATGCAACAAAAATTTGGCAGAATACAGCTCCCTCCAGGAACACAAGGAATGAAAACGACAAGCCTAGAGACATTAAAATCAATCTTCAAAAATTAATGATGACCAATATTCTAGGAACAAGAAACTATATTTATAATTTTTAATATAGCACATACAATTACAAGAGTATAACTCATTTTGTTAGCATAGTAAAAGTACCTTTTCATTTTCAGAAATTTTCACAAGAGTTTGTGAAACATTAGTTGTTGGGCTACTCACTCTTCCTACCTTCACTTGCACAGGGCAAGCCAAGTACTCCTGACATTTAACAGACGATTGATGAGCTTCAAAAAATTCCCTTAATTGTAAAATGAAAATCAGGAGCAAAAAAGATAAAATATTAAAAAATTCCAAAAAAGAATAATGATATTTCAATTATTATACACCTACACTTCGATATGCTACACTGTTATGATCAAGCAGCAAGACAACTTAAAAAATTAATTTTATGAAAAGCAAATAATGATTGCTAGAATTATTTTTTTATTTTTGTCTTAGCATCAGCACACAATAAGTCATTTCAAACTATCAGAATATCACCAGTACATTATTTTAATATTGTTCAAAAGAGAAAATAACAATGTTCAAAAACTCTATCAAGAACAAAGGAAGCCTAACCTTTGCTAATGCTTCAATCTCCACAGGCATAGTCGCACTAAACAGCAGTGTTTGATGCTTCTCTGGAAGATTTCTCATTACCTGAGGATAATATTAGAATATTCATATTTCCTTCAGTAGTCTATATAGGCAACTTTAATTTAACCCAAGAACGTTATATTGCAAGTTGCAACAACCTAAAAGGTTATATTACAGATAACACAATTTGTCAAGAGCATGAGTATACTTGTAGGGTTGTACCGCTTCCACCAAAATTTTGCTTCAGACATTGTAACCTCATTTTGCTTTCTTATCTAAGAGCATCTGCTAAATACTTAGAGAAGTTGGACTCAAATACATCTTGTTTTAGAGTGATTGGCTTGTGTTCAAAGTTTAATAATGGCAAGAGTTGAAATAAAAAGGAAAAAAGTAGCATTGAAATCACTGAATTTGGAAGTATTGCAAAGGAAAGCACAAATGATACAATTAAGTCACACTACATATCTTACATTAGGAATGAAACTCTCATGAAAATAAAGAAAAACCCAATACAGGAGAAAAACTCACAAAAATACTAACCTCTCTTATTTGTGGTTCAAAACCCATATCAAGCATTCTATCTGCCTCATCTAGAACAACAAAAGAAATTCTAGAGAGGGAAGTGTTGCCTTGTTGCAGGTGATCAATAAACCTTCCGGGGGTGGCAACTGCTATTTCAACTCCTGCTCTTAGTTCAGACCTCTGTCATAGAGACCACAAAGAGAACATACGCAAAAACCATGTCACCTTTAAGTGGAAAAGGAAAAGATTTAAAACAAAAATTCTTTCAGACTTCTTGTCTGGAACTTTTACTTAGATGAAATACTATTTACACAGCACTTGGCACCTGCTTTTGAACAAGACTTAATCTATGAAACAGCAATACTTGCATTTGCTCCACGTATCAGTATTGGATACATCTCTAATTCCAATACTCTTGGATACTTCACCAATATGTATCCTTGAAGTTTCCAGTGTTATAGACCACCAACTATCTCAAGTCTTATTTTTAAAATGGTCAATTTTTTTATATATAGAAGCATAGTCTCTTGATGAATTAGACACGGAAGCTGTCCTCTTCAGGAGGAAATGAAATTGATAGTATTCCTGCTGTTAGGCCACAGGCAGGGATTTATGATGACAATGATTTACAGTGTCTATTTTCTTCTAAGTACAGTCCAATAAGTACGTCTTAGTTTGTATTTGCAAATTTATAATTATATATGTAGTTTTACAAATTATTGTATACATAACTATATATGAATCTTACACATATTGTATTCTACAAATTTTAGAATAGTGGTACTCAAATTGCCAAATCAGATACTTATTGTGTATGCGCCTTATATACATAACATAACAGACATACCAGCATATCAGGAGAACTAGCTGTGTGAATTGAAAACACAGATTTAACTTGTGTCCAACGCAAATAAAGGATCAAAATTAAATATTTTCAACACCTCATGCATATTTAATGCACAAAGACATGTATGATGCTCTCCAACCATCCTTAATAGAATTTTGCAATGGCAACAAGACAGATAACCACCATTTTTTGTCTTTGATCAAACTTTCATAAAACCAGGCAAAATAACTGAGAAGAGATAAAGACGGCCAAACGTTTGATTACCTGCTTTTCAATGTTAGTTCCGCCCACAACAATGGCAGTTTTTAATGACTCGAGAGATCTACTAAAAGCTTTAACCTACCAAAAATCAAAACACCATATAAAGATACTTAACAGAATGACAACAAATGGGGCATTCTGTTGAAAGGAAAGAGTGGTAAAAATGAAATGACTTGGTTTAGATCCTACTGTAAGGAATAATAAGAAAAGATCCCCATCACAAAATAAATCAAATATATTTCACATTAAATGGCCAGAATCCCGTAGTGAAATTATTTTCGTAAATATCCAAATTTCAAATAGGTAATTTACATAGAGAATAGACAAGCTATAAACCAAAGCATATGAAAAACTTTATGGAGAAAATTATAAAAGTATTTTGACTTAAAATGAAAACTATCTACTAGAACTCGAGAAGTAAACCATAAATACTTCCAGACAACCCACAATCGTCCACAAAATATTACACAAATAACCTCTTTTTCTATTTGTTGAGCAAGTTCTCTGGTAGGAGCCAAAACTAAGGCCAGGGGACCATCATTGCGCCGAATGGGAGGTTGTGCCAAGCAATGCTAAAAATATGAAGGAAAAATCAAACAGAAAATGATGATCATTTACAATTGGTTTGTTTTGAATCATTCAGTATCTAAGGATATCGTCAAAAAGGTCAGTCAAACATTGCATGTCTAATAAGTTCAGACCTGTATCATAGGTATTGTGAAAGCTGCAGTCTTTCCGCTACCAGTTTCGGCACAACCCAACAGATCCCTTCCGCTGAGAGCAATTGGCATGGCCTGTGCCTGGATTGAAGTTGGCCTGGTGTATTCATGATAAGCAATATCCTTCATGATACTTGGATCTAAACACTGAGACAAAGAAGTTCATAATTGTATACACATTTACAATAAATCAATGATAGCTCAAAATTTATTTTTCCTTTCAGTAAAGATAGCTCATAATTACCTAGAAGAATATGAAAAATGAATTAATAAAAACAAATACCATATCAGTAAACGATTCTATCGGTGCAGGTGCAGGAGGAGAGTCAGTCACTACAGTAACATCAAGATTAAGCCGGGAACGGACCTCTTCAATCTGGACATAATAAGCACTAGAATTCAGCAACCAATATTTGCTTATGTAGTTAAGACACACGATAGAACAAGACACTAGAACATCAGCATAGCAATAAAACATAAATAGAACAAGACACAGCAATTATATTAAAGGTAACCTAAAAGAGTTCAATCAAGAGGGTCAAAACACAGTGAACGAGAGAGAGAGATTATTGGAACTAAGTGAAAGGGTAAAGGAAAGCGAGAGCAGTGTTGAAGAAAAATCTATAACATTGCCCAATAAACCACAGAGTTGAAGGAAGCCAACGTCAACACAACTTAACAAAAACGGCAATTTTTACAGCCCCTTTGGCCAAAAGTAACCACTACCCTTCTCACTCACTTTCAAGCCTACAACAGAAACAACTCACTCTACGACAATACAACATTGTGCAATAGTTTAAAATCGAAACAAAGCCTTCAACTTTCTTCAAGTAGTTAAAAGAAACACTCCTCTGATTTCGTTGTTGCAAGCAAACGATTACATTTTACTATAGGCCCCATTCCAATTAAACCAAAACCTCAAATTCAACTTTTTTAGCTAAATAGCAATTCCCCCCAAGCATGCATACCACTTCAATTCAAGCCCTATTCCCCCTCCCACCCTTTCAATTGAAAAAAACAGTTCAACACTCTCTTCAAAAGAAATGCACAATAAAATTAAAATTAACGCAAAGAAAAAGAAAAACCCTAAACAACACGTGAATTGAAAAATACTCACATTGCTCCAAAAAACCTCGAAATCAAAACATTCATTCATGTAAGACATGAAATTAAAAAGCAGAGTTGAGAGGGGAAAACAAAGATTGGATTGGAACCTGGTTGGGAGTCATGCGAGATACACGTTCGGAGGGTTGCCAGTGAGGGAAGACTGGGTCAGGGGCGGCGAGAATCCTGGGCGACGGAGGAGCGGCGGAACTCCGGCGAGAGGCATTGGGGAAGGAGGGGAGAGAGTTGTTGTTGGAATGGAATGCGAGCTTGGTGTGGTGGTTTTCTAGGGTTACGGCGGAGGTTCTGGCGGTGGCAACGGTGGTTGAAGTGGCGTTTCTGAGGTGCGGAGGCACATACGACATCGTCTTGCGCAGAAAGAGGTTAATAGGTTGAGAAAATGAAGCAATGTGATGTTGGTGATAACGATGATGTGATGATGAGTGTCAACCAAAATATGGTGAAAGCCTCACACGTAGCTTAGTTCCCTCTTGCTATGGGCTTAAGAGGGGAATATCGAGACCCATTTACCATTATGATTTTCATATACTATAATATATTATATTTTTATTTTAGTTTTTATATTTTTAAATTTATTTTAATTTTATAAACAAATATGACATAAAAATAACCTATGCTAACCTCTGAATTTATCTCATTATTATTTAATAATGACTAAGAACTAAGATAAAAAAAAAAAGAGTAATTCTATATTATTTATAGAAATTTTAATATTTTTCTGTGTATTCAGTACTAATATGAATATTTTAAGAAAAGACTACTAATATTAGAGTTATTATACTAATTAGTTGACAACAATTATATTTAATGAGTAAACGTATTGTTAAAAAAAGAATTAATGTTTATTTATATTTTAAATTGATAAATAATTTGAAATTAATAAAAAAAGGTGTTTGAATGTGATTTAATACACTATAAAAGAAATACAAATTTGTTTCATATGCGTTCTTTCACTGTTTTTTTTCCTTTCTGTTTTCTTTCACTGTTTTTTAACTGTTCTTGTCAATTGTATGTTATTATTAAAATACATAAATTCATTTTAATATTTTAATGATCTCTATGTTTTAAAATGATTGATCCATTGTAATCGACTAGGAGACACCTTTGGTTCATTAAAAAAATTGCTGTTATATATTTTTCAAATGGATTCAGACTATTATTCTGAAAACAAAACAACAATAACCTTGTATGGTAAAATTAAAGTAATATTAAAAAAAACACAAATAAAGGTCTCTTTTAATATTTTCATTGTTTTTATTAGATTTAGGTTTAATTGAAAGGATTGATACAATAGTTGTAAGCCCATATTATATTCATAGGTATATAATTTATCTATTTGATAAAAAAAAACACGTATTTTAAAATTATTATGGGTAAATTTTATAACTCCAATGATAATTATAAATTATAGACGAATATTAGTAAAAAAAAGTTTTTCAATATATTTATCATGATTGATGATGATGAACTGTAAATTATTATCCAGTAAAAATTAAATAAATGCAAAGAAAAAGAGTATTTTGTTTTTCAATTCATGAAATGGTTAGAAATATAAGTTTACTCTTTTTATCTTTCTTGATTTTTTCACTTACATAGAAAAAATAACATCATATTTTTTTCCTTTAGATCTACAAAATCCCTCTGACGAAACACAATATTAGAGAATATTAAAAATGTTCACAAAAATCAAAACCAACATTATTATATTTATTAAATAGTATTAAACATAAATATTTTTAAGAACTGAATTGAAAAGTCAACATGGCTTTAGATTAAGAAAATAAGGGGGAAACAAATTTTATGCAGCTTTTAGAGTTTTTTTGAGCACTAACTAAAATAAAAATTTTATCAATGTCATTCAGCTCAATTTACTATTTAGAAAAATAAGAATCTAATCATCCATTATTAAAAATAAAATCATTCATAAATATTAAGATGTCAATTTAAATAAATTCTTAATTATACATACAAATTATAATACATTAAAAAAAATGAAGGTAAATGATTGTGATTTATTTCCCTCATAAAAATTTGAAGTTATAAAATTATTCACCAAAACAGTATGGCCAGAAACATTGCTTAAGATGAAGTAGCAACATAAACTTAAAAAGGTTGAGTGCCCTCAAAATTTAAGAGACCAAACATGCATGAAAGCTTTGTAGAAGATAATATTGTACCCTCAATTTTCACAAACATGAATTGGTCATCTAGACATTGAATATATAGAACTGAATTTTTCTAATGATATATTTTTTTTTATTAAATATAAACGAAAGCACACTAAATCACACACACACACACACATATATATATATATATATATATATTGGTATAATTTTAAAAATTTTAACATTTAATATGAGTCTTTTATTTAACTTAAATATAATATATTATAATTTATTATTTTACTAGCCATTAAATTTAAATTAAATAAAAAGTTTAAATTTAATGTAATTTTTTTTAAATTTATACTGATTTAAAAAAAATTCTTCTGATATATATATATATATATATATATATTATTGTTTTAGCATCATGAAAGCAGAAAAGAAAGAGCATATGTATATGGATTTCATATTTATTCTTTTATCTTAAATTTATTTAAATATTAACAAAGAAAATTTTACTTTCAACACCTCCAAAGAAAGCCTTCGGGTTGGCAAAAATATTCTAAAAGCATGTGGGGTTGGTGCACCTGTTGACTCAGTTCAATCTATTGGAGAAAAAGAGCAATTATTAGTAACCCATTTCAATCTTCTTAAAGGTGTAGTCTACTTAAAAAATTTTCATGTTTTTATATAAAAAATAAATATATTTTTTAAAAGTTAAAAAAATTTCAATATATTTTTATTTTATTTTTATAATTTTTTAAAACTTGTCAGAGAAATTGTTTTTATCTTTTTATAATATTTTTTCAATAAAAGTTTCTGTAGAAGTTTATTTAAATTAAACATAAAATGAAGTCCTTGAGTATTAGACTGATTGAAAGTACAATTCTTATGATGTATGGCTGAAGCAATTCTTATGTGATTATTCTTGCGTCTAACATTTCACGAGGTTCACAACATTACACGATACTTCAAAACGTGTATATGAATATACTAAATAAAAATATATGAATTTAACTATTATAAAATAAAATTCTATTATTTAATTATAATATCATGTGTTAGTTTATATTTGCACTGTCTTAAGATTAAAAGTAAATATTTGAGAGAATATGGGGATAATAAATAATTAAAGTGAATTAGGGATTTTCCACAGAGTTAGGTGCCGCTTTTTCGTGTCGTTTCAGTGGTAGCAGGATTGCAATTTGAATTTCGCAGCCTCTCTTTCCACTCTCTAATATTTGTTTTAGACTTCTAATCAAATCAATGCTTCATAATTTTATTATTCAAATAGTTTATTTTGCTTTTGAATGTCTTTTTGTAAAAATAAATTAACAATATATAACTTCCTTTAAATCACGTTTCCGTCGTTAAACTTGATTATCACACTCTGTCACTCCGAATCAAGCTTTAATTGGTAAATAAATAAATAAATAAATTAGTAATTGATTGCTGACAGGTCAATTAAATGCGAAATTCATAGGAATTATTTCGTGGTATAGACGTGGTTTATAATATAAATGTTACTGTGATTTGCTTTCAATTTTGTCATTATATCATAAAAACATATTATCGTAGTTAAAAGATTTATAAAAACTAGTTTAACTTGTATTTTATTTTAAAACATATATATATATTAATAATTAAAAATAAAATATTAAAGTAAATATATGTAAATATTTATAAAAAAATTGAAATTTTATATAAGCTAATAAAAAATGTAATAATAATTTTAATTTACAAAATTTAGAAGAAAAATAACAAAAAATTATATAAAAATTAACATAAACGTACGTAAAATATAAAATTATAATAACGAAAGAGACTGTAATTCGTATATTATTATCAAATGATTTTAATCATTAAATATAATATATAAAATATTACTCTACCGAATGTTTTATAAATTTTTTAAAATATTAAAGTTTTATTTACAATGTAAATATTAATATATATATATATATATATATATATATATATATTGTATATTAAATTTGAAAATTATACACATAAATTAGCTTTAAAATTGAAAAATATATGTTATTTAAACTGTTACATAACTGTATTTATTAAAATTAAAATTTAAAATTCCATAATAAATCACAACCTCTTTTGTACATTTAATAGTATGTGTAAGTAATGTACTAAATTAAATTAAAAAAATATTACTTTATTTATAGCACACGCTTAACCTTTTAATTATGTATTGATTGCTGACTTTTTTTTGTTTATGAATGACTTTCGATTGTTTGGCAGGTTTCATCTTAGCTTGGTCAAAGTTTGACCGTAAAATGTTTGACCTTTTTCGCGAGCTTCATTCCCAGAAGGCGTTAATGGTCTTATAAAAAAAATATAAAAATATACGAATAAGGGTTTTAAAACAAAAACTAAAATAAAAATAATTCATCAGTGATTAAAATTAAAAACAATCACAATAAATGTGTCTTAATACGTATGCAGATGACGGTAGTGTACATGACGATGTATAAAATGCTATGATCACGTCACTTAAACATTGAAGTTTAAACATCCCAATTAACTTACACAATGTTTAATTTGAGAAAAAATAATATAAAAAAAAAAATTCATAAAATAACCAAAGGAAACTACATCCAAGTGAAATCGAAGAGTCTTCTTAGCTATCCTAAATGAATATTTTTCTTTTTTATATTTTTTTATGGTGTTCGAAACTAATATAATTTACGTTTTTTAAATTATTATTTCTAAATTTTTATAAGAAATAAAATAAAGTATTTTATTAGTCTAAACCCTAAATTTCTAAATTTCTAAATATAATTAATGAAATAAATTTCTAAACCCTAAACTCTAAATAAAGTATTTTATTAGTCTCTATTATAAAAATAAAAAATAAATTTAAAATACATTAATTATTAATTTTTTTATATTTCTTTTTATCAGAATTATTAAATATACACATTATCAATTATACTATTTAATATCATAGATATTTTTAAAATAAAATTTATATTTATAAAAAATATAATTGACTTAATTATTTTTTTTATTCTAATAATTTAATTTTTTATTTTTTTATAAAAAAGATCAGAAAAAGTATTTTATAAAAAATAATATAGTTGTTTTTACTACCTAAATGAATAAAATCTATAACATTATGTGCATGGTTAAAATTATCTTTTAAAAAATAATTGATTTTTTCTCTAAAATATATATATTTTTGTCTATCAACACTCAAGAGCTCTTTTAAATACTAAAAAAAATTATTTAAAAATAAATTAAGTCCTAAATACATTAAACAAAAAGAAAAGGTGTTGCAATCCCACATCCATTATTCTTTTTTATTATTATTATAAAAAGAGTAATAATAATAAAAGAAATTCATCCACCAACCCCCTTACCTACTCCGACAGCACGGCACGTCACGGCACGCGACCAACGAATGACGCACTCCACTTTCTATTCTTACGCCCTTCCTTATCTGCCACTTCTGCCACCGTCAAGAATGACGCCGTAAACTCAATTTCCATTAATTTTTTTTCTAAAATTACTGATTTTTAATATATTTTTAAAATTAGATACAATTTTTAAAATACAATTAATCTATAAAATAAATAAGTAATTTCTAGAGTGTTACTTTTATAAATTAAAATAACATTTATATTCTTTTATACTAAAGTAATTAATTATTTTACGCTTTACATTAGAGTGACAAACAAGTACTAATTAATTTGTAAGAGTTAAAACTTTACAGATGAGGATATCTATATATTTTTTTTTAAATTAAAAAATTAAAATATTTAAAATATTTAATAATTTTCACTCTTTATCTCTGACGCACTTCAACGATTAAAAAAACACCAACCAATGGACTCCATGTTCACATTCTCCGTTCCTCTATAAATTAACCCAAAGCCAAGCTCATTAACACAACGCCATACTTCACAACATAAACACATACATTTCTCCATCATTAAATTCCAGTTTTGCCCCTTACCTGCATTAACTGTCATGGACCTACTCTTACTGGAAAAGATCCTCACGGCACTCTTCTTCGCCGCCGTATTAGCCATTGCCGCCGCAAAACTCCGCGGGAAACGGTTCAAGCTCCCGCCGGGACCTCTCCCGGTGCCGATTTTCGGAAACTGGCTCCAAGTCGGCGACGACCTCAACCACCGGAACCTCACCGACCTCGCCAAGAAATTCGGCGACGTCTTCCTCCTCCGTATGGGGCAGCGCAACCTCGTGGTGGTTTCCTCGCCAGAACTCGCCAAACAAGTGCTCCACACGCAGGGCGTGGAGTTCGGTTCCCGAACGCGCAACGTCGTCTTCGACATCTTCACCGGGGAAGGCCAAGACATGGTGTTCACCGTCTACGGAGAACACTGGCGCAAGATGCGCCGCATCATGACGGTTCCGTTCTTCACCAACAAGGTGGTGCAACAGTACCGATTCGGATGGGAGGACGAAGCGGCGCGCGTCGTCGACGACGTTCGCCGGAATCCAGATTCAGCCACCGGCGGTATCGTGCTCCGGCGAAGGCTGCAATTGATGATGTATAACAACATGTATAGGATCATGTTCGATAGAAGGTTCGAGAATGAGGAGGATCCGTTATTTCAGAAGCTAAGAGTTTTGAACGGTGAAAGAAGCCGTTTGGCACAAAGCTTTGAATATAACTATGGCGATTTTATCCCTATTTTGAGACCCTTCTTACGTGGCTACTTGAAAATTTGCAAGGAAGTTAAGGAGCGAAGGTTGCAACTCTTCAAGGACTATTTTCTTGAGGAACGAAAGTAATAATTTTTTTATTTTTTAATTATTATTATTATTTTATTTAATTATTTTAGATTTGAGTTTAACTTTATTGGAAATTAATTTTTACAGGAACCTCGAAAGTACAAAGAGAACGGACAACCAAGGACTCAAGTGTGCCATTGATCACATTTTGGATGCCCAGAAAAAGGGCGAGATTAACGAGGATAATGTTCTTTACATTGTTGAGAACATTAACGTTGCTGGTAATTTACCCTTTTTTCTGTTTCACCCAAAATATATCAAAGGGATTAAAATTAAACAAATTTTAACGTACGTAAGTATATTAACAAGTTGCAAAATTATATATTAATAAAAAATTATAGATGGAGAATCGCCATGCTAAACAGTAGATAAAATGACCACAATCATATGATTTTACTTAATGAGGGAAAGGGTAGACGTGGACATGATGAAAGCAATAATTTATAAAGGGGTTTGGTGGATTACTATGCTAAGTAATTGGGGGCCCGCTTATTTTTTCATATTCAAAAAATAGATCTAAAATAGAAACATGAACAAAAAATTGTTATTAGTACACTCTTTTTAAAAAATTGTAATAAGATTATTACTTTTAGTTTAAAATATTTATTTTGTAAAATTATTTTTTAAAAAAATGCTACTTTTTTTTATATGTGAATATAATCCTACGAAATTTATAAATTAGTTAAGGGAAGAAAAAGCCCTTTAGCAGAAAAGAAATACATAAGAACTTTTAATGTAGTTAATGGAGACGATCCTATTCCCACTTGTTATCTCAAATTCAACTGCGGCCAGAGTTTGGCAACCATGTTGCTCGAAGTTGGTAATGACAGTGACCAATTTGTTTGGTCGACCTACCTCTACTTTATTGGGAGAGTGATTTTCAGTTATCATTATCCATTAGTACAACAATATCACCGTCACGAGAATAATAAAACAAACATCACCAACACCCACTTAAATAGAAAAAACAAGAAATAAAAGGGGTCCTTAAAACTTCGTTAGTGTCGTATTTATTTATTTATTTAAATATTCAAGAATAATTATTACCCCTGTTAAAATATCGAAAATGTAGATGTATTTTTGGGACATGGGTATATATTATATAAAAAAGTAAGTGAAAGTTAGAGATAATCATATGATTAGATTATATAGTATTGTTAGTGGTTCAGAATATATAATTGTTAAAATATATGTCTACACAGATATGATTGCTTTAGACGAAGCATAGATTTTGGAATAAAAGTTAGCTGATCTGCAAAATGTTTGTTTTGGAGCAGCAATTGAGACAACTCTATGGTCAATTGAATGGGGCATTGCGGAGCTTGTGAACCACCCAGAGATTCAGAAGAAAGTGCGTGAGGAGATTGACAGAGTACTAGGACCAGGACACCAGGTGACAGAGCCAGATACCCACAAGCTTCCTTATCTTCAGGCTGTGATAAAAGAGACACTTCGCCTTAGAATGGCAATTCCACTTCTTGTTCCACACATGAATCTTCACGATGCAAAGCTTGGTGGTTATGACATTCCTGCTGAAAGCAAGATCTTGGTCAATGCATGGTGGCTTGCCAACAACCCTGCTCATTGGAAAAACCCTGAGCAGTTTAGGCCTGAGAGGTTCTTGGAGGAAGAATCAAAGGTGGAAGCCAATGGAAATGACTTTAGGTACCTTCCCTTTGGTGTTGGGAGAAGGAGCTGCCCTGGAATCATTCTTGCATTGCCCATACTTGGCATTACTTTGGGACGTTTGGTCCAAAATTTTGAGCTCTCGCCTCCCCCAGGACAGTCCAAGCTTGATACCACTGAGAAAGGTGGTCAATTTAGTTTGCATATACTGAAACATTCTACAATTATTGCAAAGCCAAGATCATTTTAGTCTTTGTGAATGAATCCCCTTATTCTTTTTTAGTGTATTATTGTATTTTATCAATGCTGAACTGTTTGAAAATGGGGGTGTTGAAGTGTTGGCTTGGTCTGCATACATGGCTGCACCATTGTTTGTACAAGTCTCAACTTGAAATGATGGCTTTGAGAGAATAAAATCTACACTGTGCTCCCCAGCCTTTTCTTTTTACTTTGTTATGGTACTGTATAGAATTTTGATTCATTTGAACCAGTTTTATGCCTTCGAGTACAATGAAGGCCGTGAAAAAAACAAGGGAAAAGAAAAAATATAACTTTTGGCACCCATTTTTGGAGTATGAAGTAGGTGAAAAGGAGAGTAAAAACTTGTAATTAAAAGAGACGAGGAAAAGATATAGATGAAAAATAAATATAAAATTTAATAGAAAATACTTTCAATGGAGTACAACTCGTATAAAAATTGAAAGGAACACTGAACCCAGCTCACTAATTGAAGCTCTTAAAAAGTTCCCACTAGCCATCAAAGTCGCCGACTTCAGAATGAGTACTCTAAAAAATGGGTTAGGTTGGTGAAGATTTGTGATTTTTGTTCAGACAAAGGCCATATAATACTAGGATGTCATCATGAAATGATGAGTAATAGCATTGGTACGATGAACATCGATTTCATAATAAAGAAAAACAGATTATTTGGCATTTTATATGAGCCACAAATATTGCCATAAGAAAGCAACATTGTATCAGTATTTGGGGGAGCAAGGTTGGGTTCACCATTCAAACAATGACACATCATCTTCTTTTTATATCCAAATTGGTTTGGACTTTAATTTTTCATATACATGCTCAGCGTCATGACATGCGAGTATTGTGCCTATCTTTCACTTCAAGTATTAGCCCCAAGATGATCATTATCAATACATTATTTTATTTTATTTTCTAATAAATGGGGCTTAAAATTTAAAGACAAAGACGAAACTAATTATAAAATTTGGAAAAGCTAATACCTAAAAAATCTTGCTTAATATGACCAACTAAAGAAAAAAGGACACTACTTAGGATTGTATAGTGAAGGTGATCTTCATGAGCCAACCGGGCTAATATATCTGTATAATAGTTAGCTTCACGATATACATGAGAATAATAGATGAAAGGTAAATCTTGAAATAGTGTATGAATATTTTGAACCAAGCAAGAATATTGACCAATATAGCCATAGTTATTCTTGATAATTTGGAGAGCTTCTTTAGAGTCAGACTCTAAAATTATATTCAAGTAACTATTAGCTCTAAGAAATTGAAGATAATGAAAAACAACCCATAATTCAGCATCAAAGGGAGAACAACAACCCACTTTGCACATAAAACCCTTCAGAAAAACTCCATCAAGACTCCAAATAAAACACTCACAAGCAGTAACACCTAAACTAGTAAATACAAAATCATCAACATTTAGTTTAACATAACTTATTGGAGGAGGAGACCAATTGACAAGCGCAAAATCTTTTAGCTTAGAAAAGGGCTAGAGTCCCCGAAAGAAGAGACTAAATAAGAAGCAAATGATATAGATTGATCAATCAATAACCGGGGGAGGGGGAATAGAAGAATTATTAAAAATGAAAGAATTCAAATCAAACTAAATTCTCCAAAGCAAAATGTCAAAAATCACATTCCAATGCTTAAAATTATTAGCTTTTGCTGAGATAGATTATCGATCAACCAATTACTCAATCCCACACTAAAAAACTTAAACCAATTAGTATTAGAAATCAACAAGTTCCAAACCTCGGAAGCATATGGACAGTCCCGTAAAACATGCATAATCGTTTCAGGTGCAGCAGAGCACTTAGGACAAAGATCGTACTCAGAAATATCTCTATGAACTCTTTCTGCATTAGTTAATAATTTACCATAAGCAATTTTTGAAAGAAATAAATTAATCTTAGGTGAGCCATGCCATTTCCAAACCAAATTGAAACAACCATTATTATTATGAACAGGATGACTATCCTTATACAACAAAACATAAGCAGGATGACCAAATAGGAATATCATTTCCTAACTCTTTATTGGGAGGATTTAAGGTGGCAATTCTTTGACAAATATGAGGTGGCAACAAATGTCTAAATTTATCCAAATTTTAACTTGCAGGAGATGCAAATAAGCAAACAGGAAGATCAAAATTAGATTCTAGAATAGGACAAATAGTAAACTCCTTTAAATTGCTAAAATCGACCTAATTATCAGTCAAAAAACTTGTACACATTCCATCCCTAATTTTCTAATCAAGACAGCTATAGAATTTAGGCCAGATATGAGCTAAAGCTTTCCAAGTACTTGAAATTTTTTTATTCTTATTCACAACAAAAGATCTCCTAAGTTGAAATCTACATTTAGCAATTAGGGTTTGAGCCCAAAGATCATTAGGAGAAGTAATAAATCTCTAACCTATTTTCATTAAGTAAGTTGTATTTAAATTTTGAATATCTCTAAACCCCAAACCCCTGTCTTCTTTAGGAGCACAAATGGTGGACCAACTTATTAAATGATATTTCCTTTGATGTATAGATCCCCAAATAAATTGCTTGCACAATTTATTAATCTCTTTACAAACAGTAATGGGAATTATATGAGTTTGAAGATAATAAACATGTATACTCATCAAACTAGCTTGAGCCAGAGTAACTCTCCTAGTAATTGATAAAGACTTAACTTTCCAAAGAAAAAGTTTCTTTTTGATTTTATCAATTAAACTATTATAACAATGAGTGCTAGGTCTAACTGGCAGAATGGGAAGACCAAGATAGGAATCACAAGTAGTATCTCTTCTTATGTCTAAAGCATCACTAATTCGATTACCTAATACCTCATCAGTGTTATTTGAGAAAAGAATGCTAGATTTCATCCTATTAACACGCTGACCAGTAGTAGAACAAAACTTCTCAAGAACCTGATTAATTTTAATGGCTTGATCAATGGAAGCCTTAGTAATTAAGAGTATATCATCTGCAAAAAAGATGTGAGAAATTTTAGGGCCATTTATATTAAAAGAGAAAGGTATTAAATTTCCAGCTTTAACATCATCTTTAATGCAATGGGCTAATCTTTCAATACATAACACAAACAAATAAGGAGATAAAGGATCCCCTTGTCTAATTCTTCTAATAGGGAAAAAAGTATCAGTTTTATTACTATTCTAATTAACACACATAGAAGAGGAGGAAATGCAATGGTAAATAAGATCAATAATCTTAATCAAAACCAGCCAACAATAAAGTATCTTTAATAAAATTCCAATTTAGTCTATCATAAGCCTTTTCCAAGTCAAACTTTAAAATCATAAAATTTTCTTGTCTCTTAAGATAATTAAAAGAATGAACAATTCTTGTAAAATGATAACATTATCAATCCCTTGCCTTTGAGCAATAAAACTCCTCTGATTTTTAGAAATTAAATAAGATAAACATCCTTTAATTTTATTTGCCAAAATTTTTGTAACTACTTTATAACTAACATTACAAAGAGAAATAAATCTAAACTGGTGGACAAATTCAGGGTGATCAACCTTAGGGATTAATGATACATTATTTTATTTTAAAACACATTCTTTAATATATAAAATAAATATGTTATTTTTTTTACATAAATATGACAACAACAAAGAATATGTTAAAAAATTAATAAGATTCTTAACATTTCTCGTAGACTCAATTCAAATTATTACCAACTAGTTTTTTTTAAAGAATTTCTTTTAGGATGTGATTACATAAACACCTTGATAAAACAATTATTCCATAACTCTTAATATAAGAGAAACTATATTATAAATTTCATCATAAAAATTATTAAAGTAAGTTAAATAAATTAAATAAGAATCATAACTTTTTTATAAATTCAAATGAAAATTATAGAACCTTTCTCAAATGCTCTATTTGTAAACAAAGGATTTATTTATTTATTACAAAATAAGCTTTATATAAAAACAGGCTCTTAATTTCTTTATAATATTGAAAAATGATAATCAATATATGATTTTATTTTTAAAAAAATTATTTAACAAAACATGTAAACTACTTAATTTATTTTGTTTTAAAGCAATTTATAATTAAAATAACAATTTTTTATAAAGAGTAAAAACTAAACAAAAAAAAATGTAATATCTACACATATATAATAACAAAAAATTGATTTTTAAAATATTACAATTTTTTTATAAATGTCTTGTTAATTACAAAACTTGGCGTAATTATTTTACACGATTTTTATTTTAACGATACAGGTTTTACTAAATGAAAACATATTCAAATTGTTTGATAAAATCCATGTAAAGTTCTGTTAACAATAATGTAAGTTTAATTGTAATTTTTGTTAATCGTCCTTTGATCTATTTTTAATTTTAGTTATTTGCACTTAATTTTTATAGCTTTTAATTGTTCAAATTAAATTCCATCCCCAGAATTTACCTAAAAGTCAACATTTTTATATAAATTAATAATTTTTTAAAGTAAAAGTAATTTTATCAAAACATTTTATATAGATTTCTTTTGTAAATCCATATAAATTATTTATATATCACATGTCCATTGCACTTATATTTTTTATTAAATAAAATTCAAAAATAATTTACGTTAAATAATTAGAAAATATAAAACATACATACAATTAATTAAAATTGAGATACATAAATCACCTATTAACAAAAATGACGTTTAAAGTTTATTTTAAAGTGAAAGTAAACTATCATTTCTCTTTCTGAAAGTATTCTTTCTCAGACTTTATAACTAAATAATATCTCTTTTTTGCTATTTCCTTATTTATAATAAATAATATTTATAAATATAAAATTTATATAAAATAATATTTATCATATTAAAGTTATAAAATTACAATTTTGTTAATCTCTACTTTAAGAGCTAAGTTTAAACATTCTAAAAAAAAATTTATATATATTTTTAAATTATAAAAATATAATAAATAATTCTCTTTTTAATAAAATTTTATTATTATTAATTTTTTATTCTCAATTAATAAAATCATAAAATTATAATAAATATTTTTTATTTTTAATAAAATTTTATTATTGAGTTTTATCTAAGGATAATAGTTAACAAAACTCCATTTTTATTTAATTTTGCAGTAATAAGAGTGTTTTCACTCTAATATTTTTTATTTTAATTCACAGTCATAAGAGACTTTTCTTGTTCGGTTCTTAAATTATCATTATTTGAAAACATTAAATATAAAAATAAAGGTAGGTCTTCTTTCACATCCGTTGTATGTGTTAGCAATTAGCTTTTTTTAAGATAGCTAAGCCAATATCCTTTTGTAATCCACTCAAGTTGATTATGATGATTATAAAAGAACCTTTTTTACTGATTTAAAGTGACTTATACATAAAATTATTTTAATGTTCAAAAATCAAAATTCCGAAAATGTGCCCCATTATGGCTACTTTGCGAATTCTTGTTTCTGTTTTGTTTCCTTTCCACTGTACCAAAAAATCGGAGCCTGATATTTGATTTGAAAAAAAACGTTGATAGAAAAAGATTGCTCAGCAATTTAAGATTTGAACGTGATAACAAAATAAAAATCAAATCTATTTTCTGACAACCACTTCCACTGGTTCAAATGTTTCACGAATAACAACAAAATTCATAATCCATTGGTTTAGTACTGAATAACATTAATTTAGTAATGCTATTCAGTACGAAACGAATGGAACGAGAATGTAGGTCGCAACCAGGCCCTCAAATCAAATCGCGCAATCAGAGAGAGCAGACATGTTGACCTGAAAAACTCAATTTCCGTGCACACAACCATGCCGCCTTCATTATATAATCCAGAGCATCGGCTTATTGTGCACGGATTCAAATCCAAATCCAAATCCAAATCCAAATCCTATGCATGACAATAACATTCATGAACTAACAAAGGAAAACACAGAAACGTTAATCCCCAAACCTAAGAAACTAGAAATGTCACAACAAAGGGAAAAGCCTAGGAGAACGACGTAGATGATTAGGAACAAACCTAGCAGCAGCTATGCTCTCTGTGGAGAGGGGAGTCGGGGCTAAAGCGTGGAGTTGAGGCACTATTTATAAACGGAGAGAGCTGTTTAGTTTAGGGTTTACTTGTTTCTTATGGAGGATAGATTGGTAAATTCATTGCATCCTTGTGCCTTCTATGGGCTTTTTCTACGGTAATGTTTTGTTTAGAACTTGAGAAGCTTGGCCCAAAGTGCAAATAACTAACCAAAATATTAACTTTTACCCAAAATAAAAAATCTCAAAATTTTTCCTCTTTAAACTCTATATCATACCCAGTAAAATTCCTTCAAACTTTTCATGTTTTCATTATTTTTTTTAATTTCAAACTTTGTACAATTATTTTTTCTTTTAATTCTCTAGCAAACTCTCCTATAATCTGGATAAAAAAAACTAGCGAATTTTAAGTAGAAAATTAAAATTACAAGATTTATTAAAATTAAGTCAATCTTACATGGCATCATATTACTGAGTCAATAGGAAGGGGTCAATTAACCATTCCAAATTTTCGGATACCATAAGGATTCACCTTGTTTTATTTGGAAGCATATTTATTCACGATGTTACATCATACAATAAATAAAAAAAACATTATTAAATTATTTCGTAATACACATGGAATAAAAGCTGAAAACGCTAGTAAAAAAAGAAAATACACAGAAGCATTATTGAAATTTTACGTCACCCATTACTTTAATCTCATGCATTGAGCACCAACATCTACTCGAGTCCATGTCTCTGTTTATATTGCATGGCAAAGGCATAGATTTGGTGAGGGTGAGGGAGTGACGTGACCACACTCTCTTTCTCCATGCACCTCTTTGCCCAAGCCACAAACTTTGGACACTCTTTCTCTATGCTTAGTTTCCCAAATGTCTCAACCGTGTAAAACCAGCTGGTGAAAGGAACCAGAGCCACATCCACATACCCAAAATCCTCTCCACCAAAATATGGTTTGTCTCCTAGTTCATCTTCAAGGATCTTCAAACATTCTATAAATTGTTTCTTGCACTCTTCTTGTTCTTTACCCTTCCCTGTCCATACCCTCTTTATAACATTGTATACCTACACCAAACACAATTCCACAAATTAAAACATCTATGCCCTTATCATGTCCATATATTTTTTAATAATATTGTTACTCTTACAACCCCCGTTTTACCATTATCATGTCTATATGTTTTTGGAGTGCAGGAGATGGAAAAAAGAGAAAAAGAGAGAGAGAGAGAGAGAGAGAGAGAGAGAGAGAAGGTGAAAGTTATAATAAATAAAGCAACATAACCGTAGGTGTGAAGAATACTGCATAAGTGTGTAAATATTATTCTCATAAAAATAATTAATAATGGGTTTGTCTAAGTTATCTCATGGATAAATAATTTCGTGGACTAATAAAATTTTGTTTATAAAAAACATTGAAATTAAAAATCGATACAATTTTTAATACAAATTTTTTATCTTGTTAGTTCACTTAAGATGAAGTTATTCACCCTTTAGGTAACTTAGCCAAACTCATTGCATATTTATGTCCAATTATATGACCAAATTTGTTTTTCTCATAAGAAAAGTGTGTACAAATATTAACACAGTTGCAGCTATAATTTAAAACCATGTATGTAACTTACATTTTTGTCAATGTAATCGCCCCAAAACCTGGCTTGGGAATGCTTGTAAGGGTCAGAGGGAATGAGAGAAGGTTTGTGATTCCATGCCTCATCAATGTACTGAACGATGTTGAGTGATTCACAGATGGGTTTTCCATTATGAATCAAAACTGGTATCATTTTGTGAATCGGGTTCATCTCTAAAAGCAGAGAGCTTTTAGCTTGAAAATCTTCTTGCTTGCACTCATATGAGATACCCTTCTCTGCCAATGCAATCTTCACTCTCATTCCATAAGAACTTGGCCAGAAATCCAACAGAACCACATTGGTCTCTGCCATTTTTCCTTGTGTACCTTGCTTAGATTAGTTTTAATTTGAGATTGAGATGGTTCAGATGATTTAGATCTTTGTGGGTTATAGGTCTCTTTATACTTGTGCATTACTTGTTTGCCAAGATATGAAAAATGGAAGGTCTACCAAAGATGGTGTCATTGCTCATGTTGGACTTGAGATCAATCTTTGTTGTGCTGTTAGTTCATTCAACTTTTCCTTTTGATTTTGATTTTATCCAAATAATTGTTTAATATTTAGTCCTTTTGTAGAATTAGAGCACACATGTTGTGTCTTTAAGTGCCTTACTGGAACCACCCAAAATGTGAAAGGAACAAGTTCAGATAAATTTGACATACTTTAATAGAAATCAAATTTGACACGGGATGTTGTTGGTAGAAAGAGAGATAGAGAAACAAGGTCAACTATATTACAAAAAAATAGATAGATGTATATGGTGTATATTCAAGCATAAATTTATTTTAAGGACTGCATCTTTTGCTCCTTATACCTTTTATTTATTATATTTTGGGTAATTTTTTGTAATATGATATAAGGTAGTCAGTTTTAAAATTAAATAGAACCAATTTTGATGTCATTAATCTTTCAATTGTTGAACACAATGGAGAACTATGTCCAGATCATCTTGGTTATCATAAATTTATATAAAATATATGCTTTTTTTTTTATTATAAAAAGTATGAGAATAAATTTTGAATATCAAATCAAACAGGCAGGAGCATATATTTACGTCTCTTTGATTCACTGAAGCTAGACAATTTAATCAAGGCTAGAATATTGAAAAATGATTTTTTCAATATTTATTCTCATACTTTTTATAATAAAAAAAAGCATATATTTATATAAAATATATGCTTTTTTTTATTATTATAAAAAGTATGAGAATAAATTTTGAATATCAAATCAAACAGGCAGGAGCATATATTTACGTCTCTTTGATTCACTGAAACTAGACAATTTAATCAAGGCTAGAATATTGAAAAATGATTTTTTCAATATTTATTCTCATACTTTTTATAATAAAAAAAAGCATATATTTATATAAAATATATGCTTTTTTTTATTATTATAAACAGTATGAGAATAAATTTTGAATATCAAATCAAACAGGCAGGAGCATATATTTACGTCTCTTTGATTCACTGAAGCTAGACAATTTAGTCAAGGCTAGAATATTGAAAAATGATTTTTTTTCACACTATATATATCTTGAGAGAAAATAATTGATATAATAAATAATGTGATAGAAAAAGAAAAAAATATATAAATTACAGTATTAAAAAATATAATTATGAAAATCAACTTTAATTGTGAAAGAGACAAATTTTAGATACAATATCATAGATAATGCATTTAAATTTTGTCTTTATAAAAGAGGGAGTGTAACTATTTATATACAAACTCAGCTTCAAGATAAGGAAGAATTGCTAAACTTCTTCCACCACCTTTTGTTGGTACAGAATCAAGTAAATCATATAAAGGCTTAGATTTAAAAAAGTTTCTTAAATTTGTCTGTAAAAAATTTGTTTTATTAACACTAGCTTTTAAAATTGATTTTAAGCATTTTAAAACAGTAATTTTTTTTAAATATTAAATTAAATATATAAAAGTGTAATACTTTTTAAATTATTATTATTATTATTATTATTATTGATTACTTAAAATAAATCCTAAAGACTAATATTATTTTTTTTTAAATTAGTGACAAATATATTAGTTTATTACAGTCTAAAAATTTCACGTTAATCCCCCAATTAATGTCAGTCATATTAATGTTTTTAGAAATTAATGTATTCGGTGACTAAGATCCAGTATAATCAACATTTCTTAAAAACAATTTCTCTACCAAAATAAATAATAATTAAAGAGTTTATTGTGAGATTAATTAAACATCTTTATATTTTTTTTGTCATATCCAAAAGTCAGAATATAGGTGAATTTGATTACCAGATAGTTAAAGAAGTCTATTACAAAAGTAGAAGAATTAATATTAATATTAATATTTATTTACAAAAATGAAATATATAAATCGGGTAAAATTTCATGTAGCGCGTAATTTTTTGAAATATATATAAACTCAATATTAAAAATATCTTTACTATAAGCGCATAACCATTCCAGTTGAAAATTTCAGTTTTCACAGTAGCAGCGGGATCTTCACCTTTCAACTATCACCTTCTCTTCACTACGCTCCGATACAGAGATTCAGATCTCGATTCGTCATCACAGTCTCTTCTTCTTCTTCTTCTCAGAAAATGCAAAATCTCTCTCTCTCTCTCTCTCTCTGACTTCGCGTTTGCTTTCTGAATTTCTCTTGATGATAATACTGATTGTTATTCGAATTATAAGTTTCCAATCGATATTCAGAACGCTACAGTTTTAACATTGCGATTCTGCTCTGTTTCGTGCGAGGTTTTAGATTGCATTCTGCACGATGTTGCAATGGATGGGAGGCTCCAGGCGGAAAGTCACAACGGTGAGTTAGATTCTTACTGAAATTTGAACGATCTTTGATGCATACTGCAATGTACTTTAAATCAAATTGAGATATGTATAATTAGGGGAAAACAAAACCTAAATATTGTTTGAAATTGAATGACTAGCGGTATCTTATAGGACAAGCCAAATTTTCTCATTGAAATGATGGCAAGTATGGAAATGTATATACGTGCTTGATTGATTCAGAAGATAAAATATTCTTGAAATTGGTGACATGTTCGTGGAAATCATGAGGTTTTCTGAATTAAAGGAAAAAGACAAAAAACTAGTCATTGCTTTTGGCACAAATTGGAAATATTTTTTCATGGTTTGCTAGCAGACATAGTTGGCTAGGCATGCCATTCCAAATTGAAAAATGTTTGAAGCAAGAAATTGAAATGGTTTTTGTTTTTTTTCCTGATGTCCAAACATTTTACCTTTGGTGCATGGTATCACTTGTGATGGGAATTTTCAGTCAAGGAAGTCTACACAGAAGAGGTAAAAGTTAGTTATACTTACTGCAATGAGTTTGGTTGGTTGAGACTGGGGAAGTTTGGTTCTGCTGAAATTTGGTGGTCACATACATGGTGGAATTGTAATGGACTCCTTATTTTCACCAGACAAAAGCAATACTTTGAACAAAGGAAGCGTCAACAACAAAATCTTCAGATGATGGGATCAGATAACTGTTCAGATAGCCCAGGAATAAGTGGACAAAGCCACAAGGACCATCGGTCTTTGGACATTCTTAATTTGCTTAACTTGTCAAAAAATTCTCAGAACCGCAATCCATTGTGCCCGAAGGGTAAGCATGTAATATTCTTTCTGCATAGCAGTTTTATTACTGCTGTTTCCTTACAGTCTCGGAATGCAAGATGTGTAAAACACTACTTTTAATGTGGCATATATTGATCAGTTAAGTAGTTTCCCAATCTTGTAGTGATTGAATCATTCAAAGAATCTTGGACTATCACTAGCTAACGCAGGGTTTTTTATTGTTGACTGTTAGATTAAATATTTCAAACCTATCCATCTTCTCTGTTTATTTACAAAAGAGAGAAAAGGTTTCTTCATGAGATTTTAGAGCAAATAGCATATGGATTCTTAGCATTATTCATTAATTTTCTTTTGCTTCCCATGTTTGATGTTTCACTAGTTAGCTAAAATGGAAATAATTCCACTGTATTAAAACTTGGCTGTTATTTTTGGACTTCTAGCAAAGTCGTCATCAGGCTAAAAAAATTCATGTTCTGATAGGCTTCCAGAAGGACAACCATGTGATATGTATGGTAGGGAATAGGATTTGTCAAATTGTGTAGCTAATACTGCTTCTTTTTGTTTCTTTTGTCTTGATAGCTTTGTTTTGCATCTCAGTTTCTTTTCCTGCTTATGTCATGTGTACTAAAATTATCAATATCCCTCCTATAATACTTGTACAATATGAAAGGGAGGGATGATGGAGAAATCAGTATTCCTACCATGCCAGGCAGTGTCTCAACAAATCAACCAACTTTATTTGCCAACGTGGATGCTACTGTAAATTCTTGCACATTTGAAGAAGCAAGTATGTGCCCTAGTATCTTTGAAACCATAAAAACTGTGAAGTCTGACTGGTTTCATTTAAAAGCAATTTGGAACTGAGATGTGAAACGTATAATGAATGTATACAGAAGCAGGAGCACCTTTGTGCTTCCAGATTGAAACATCACCAAAGAAGTGAGTAATACTTTTACCTGTTATTGTTATTGACCTTTCTACATTATTATTTTCCTGGTTAAGACATATATCATACAGTACTTGAATGGATTGAAGGGGCTCTTCATGAGGTTGGAGAATGATTGCATTGCCTACTTGTATGCATTATTTCACTTGTTTTTTCAAACTTATTTCTCCACTTCACAACGCATCCACGGCTAGAAAAAATATAAAAGGTGTTCTCAATGAAGCTTGAAGCAAATGTCGAGCACATCACACATTCACTAGTTGCTTCTGAGTCTATGCCATTTTTTTGGTATGGGTGTTGGAGTTGGATTTGCGTTGTTAAAAAATTTTAGGACTTTTATAATCAAGTTGGTTCAGTTTGTGGCTTAGAAAATTTCGGAACCCTGCATCCAACGACTCAAAACAAATTTATGGATAAACCAAATGACAGAATTTGAACTGAATCATGCCTTTCATTGGTTTGCTTTGGTTCTTTCACCAATTACTTCCTTCCAGAGGTTTCACATTTCTCTTTTTGGGTGTTGGACGAATGTGACGGAAATTACAAGGTGGTTCTTTCTAAATAGATTGGCTTAGTTACTCTTAGGCTAACCCTCAACCACTACTTATTCGTTTCACCTAACCTGCGCTTATTTCTCATCATTCAAAGAATTGAGACTTCTTTCACTTGACAGGAGTACTCCTGATCACCAGAATACTGCTTTTAATGGACCACCTTGGAAGACAGTAACTGATCAATGTAAGTAGCACATTACAGATATTCAACAAACTTAAGTCGAGACTGTGTTTCTTGCTATTGTAAAATTTAGATTATCTCTTCGCATTTTTGCATTCGTGGCCATAACACCGGAATTTATTTAACATCTATCTGTTTTTTTTTTCAAAAGCAGATTAACCCATTATCATCCGAACTTTCTTCCTCTCACCTATTGATTTGTCCTTGTTCTCAGACTCGGAATTATCTGTTATTGATTTGCTTTGTGATGATGAGCCTAACGCTACTATGGAAAAGTGCCCGACATGTGAAGATCATGTTTCTTTTTCACTTGAAGGTATATGTTGCTTTTTACTCATATTGGTTTCCCTCCCGTTTCATATTGCATTATTCGCATGATCACTGTGATTATTGTTATATGCTCATCAACATATGTAGGGATATTTGGTGGGAAGCAAAGATGGTGATTGAATTTCGTCTATTTATGTAAACATCGTTTATTATAATGGAAGTAAAGAATTGATAATAATGGTTAAATTTGTGATCTTTAAATTTGATAATGAAACCAAGTTTTAACGTTAGTTCCTTCCTAGCTTGATTTCTTAACACATTTGGTGACATTCACAATTTACGTCTTTCAATATATCTCTGTGTTCTTTTTTCCGTAGATCATTGCATGATGTACTTTCATATTCACATAAAGTGAAACTTTATACATAACAATGGTTATCCGTTTGTCTGTTACTTTGACAAATTTTTTTCCACATATATAACATTAATGAATCCTTTCTAGGTTTGGGTAAAGTTGGAACAGAGACACCAATTCATTCGCCGGAACAAAGGGCTAGGTAAATTAAATCGATACTTTTTGAATGGTTAATTCGCTCGTTCGTTCTTTCTGTAAGATTATTCTGTTAAATATTATCCTATTCTCAGGTTGTTATTTGCGCAAATTACTGTCAATAGCATGACTTTCTGGCTAAATGAGTTGATTTAATTACAATGGTCCAAATTTGCTTCAAATCACAGTATTGCCATATATCTCACCCGCATTTATGAAAATTCTGGCTAAGTATAGCATAGCCGTAAAATGTGTCATTGTATACATGACCTGTTACTAATTAAATATCCGTAAGGGCATTTTTACGAGTGATCATGCCCATTTTAGTTTCTTTAATAATTCTTTCCTGTAATAAATACTACAAAAATAGTTTCTATTGCTTCCAGTCGCATGTTTGTCAATGCTGTTTGAGCTATGGAGGGAGTTGTCATTGTCAATGTACTTCTGCTACTTGATATTCAACTAGTTGTTTCTGCCAGTTAATATTTGCTGAATTCAAGCAGGGGCTTGAATTTACTATTATCGTTAAGTCTCTTGATTTTAGCTTGTATTCTTTTGAATAGTATTCTTTTAAAAATACTACTTGTATATGATTGCGGCTATCGTCCCTTCAGTGTCATGAAAGGTAGCCTGAATAAATCGTGCAAAACAACATACGCTTCTAAGTTCTTCAATATAAGATTGAAAGTTTATGAGGTTGGCAATATTTTAATGAACAACATTACCTCACCTGCTGAAAAAGGGTTTGAAGCATTCAGTCAATTAGCTGGCTGTTGGAATAGACAGATAGAATACTTTTGAACGTGTTTTGAAATTTGTGGCTTGCAGAATTTCATACGGCTACTCTCCATTGGCGAAGGATGGAAAGAAATCAAAATTAAAGAACCTTAACCATGTGCTGGATGGCATTGAACTTGAAATGGTGAAGCACATATCTAAATCATCTTTCTATACACAATCTCACACACATTTTATATAATCCTGTCAGCATCTTTTGAAGCTATATGTTAGTACTGGCTATACCTGAACTGATATATATCTTCCATATTTAGTTTTTGCCTGAAGAATTAAATTTTCTTTTGTTGACGTGCTTTCATAATTGTTATATCTGAAGCATTTTATTCTATTCCTCTTCCATGGTATAAAATGTCAAGTACACGACTACGACTATTGATTGGAAGGATACCATGATATAATGTATAGGACTGCGTTTGAAAAGTTATTAAGCACTGATACGGGTTAAGCCATAAGTTGGTCCATAATATGGAGAATATATGCACAACATTGAGTATATGGAGAATCTGATTTGGAAAAGACTGAGTTATCACTTGGATATGGTATTTTAATTAGAAACATCATGATTGTTGAGGCAAAGAATCTGCTTGTTTTAAGAGAGATGGCTAACTTAGTAATTATCGGTAATGATAATATGACAAAAGATATTTGGGTAAATTACGCGTTACGCCCTATGGATGAGGCTCCCACCGACTAAGGTCTGGGGAGGATAGGTACGACCGCCTTACCCTCGTAAGCGGAGAGATTTAAGTCAAGACCTTTCGCTTCAAGGTAGCACCTAAGGCCAGGTCACCTAATCCCCTTAACTATTTACTTTTCAGTTAACTTCAGTTACAGTTTATTTTACAGATTACGCTCTAAAGGTTTTAGAAATTTTCTCAATTTACCCCCTAAGGTATTGCTTATTTTACATATTATCCCTTTAAAAAAAATTAGTGGAGTCTATTATAAAAGTTGATTGAAAACTTTGGAGTTAGTTTGGTTTTAGGAAATATTTTCTCTTTTTATTTTGTTTTCTGTTTTTTTTAATTTGTATGAAAAATACCGAAAATAGATTTTTTTTCTGTTTTCTATACAAATATTACAATATAGGAATCAAAATAAAAACAATGCGACAGTTTTGAAATTAAAATTAAAAAAAGAAAACAAGCATGCCCTTAAGTTTTCAACTAAAAAACCAAAGTTTGAAAAAAAAAAAAAACTTAAAATCAAAGTTAAGGGGTTGAGAATAAAAAAAAAGTTGGGGGCAGTTATTTGAAAAAAGAGTGAAGCTACAAAAAGTAAAGTAAAATACATCCAAGATATCAACGTGCATATTTAACCTCTATGTTTCTCGATACTCGTTCCTCGTTCTTCTATTCTTTTCTGCCACTTTCAGTCTTTTGATTAGATCATAATTGGAATTGGACCTATTGTTCCTCAAACTGGACTTGCAGTAGTTTTCATTATAATCTGCCTTTTAAATTCAAAATGAGTATCGAATATTCACTCCATTGGGTAATTATGTTGAGGTTATATAATGTGACACACTACACACAGGATACAATGATGCAAGATATCAAGGTGTCGCCTACCAATTCTTCGGACTTCCCATTTAACAAAGTAAAGCGAAGCTCAGCAGTTATTCGGGACAAGCATTTTTATGACCTTACTAACAAAAATGGCTCTTCCATTAGTGAAGACTTTTTCTACAAGACTGAAAATAGTAATGAAGAATTGTGGAATGGTATCTATAGCTAACTTTTTTCCTTTTATTTGTTTTATCTTATTGCTTTTTGTTTAACACCTTGTTTTCTAACACTTTGCTAAACTGTAACTTCAACAGTATTCTTGTGATTATGGTAACTATTTTACTGTATCAAGGTCATATGAAATGTAATAACATCTCCTACTTCCCCTGAGGAAAGATAAAAAGAATGTAGCAGTGACAGATGAAGAGAACGTAAAACTGAAGAAAGATTTAAAACGAAAAGGGAATAGACGTGAGATGGATAACCATTGCACTTTGTTCCTAGCTGTCAGCAATGGCCACATTTGAGAGATTGAATCATTTTTTATTTTTGGCAGAAGAGAGATTGAACTATTGCATCATTTGCTTAATGGATTCTGCTGAAATGCGACATCGTATACGATATGTACCATTATAGTTTCCTGGGCCAACGATACAATTTAATACAGCCTAGATCATCCACATTTGTCTAGGTTTTTGCCCATATTTTATCTGATAAAGGACCAGAGCTGGCCTCGGTTCATGGTCTCATATTTAGTGTTTCTAATAAATGCCATGAGTTATCTTTTTGGATATTCGAAAAATGTTTTAAATCCTCCGTCTTTATGTAATATAGCATGCTCTAGCTTCCTTGATGAGAAATTTGACAACGAAATAGAATATGATATCCCACGTAAGAAGACTTTGCAAATGGGTTCTAAATCTCCGGGATTATTGAAAAGTGGGACCTACCAAATGGAAATTCATGCTTTTGAAGATCTACTTCCAAAGAAATGGTATTTGCTGTCTCTGAGCGTACTTTTCCCCGTCTCCCAAAATGATATTTTTGACTTAAAGATGGTTGTATGTATGGTAGTGCAGGTTTTCAGCAACAGCGAAGGAAGAGATCGACATGAGTGGTACAATATGATTTCTTAAATCATCAAATAGAATTTTACTTCAATCTTTTGTAAAATGTATTCTTGGAAGTTGGAACACCAATGACACTGACAATATCTTAATTTAATTTCTACGTTTCTACCGATAATTAATTTGCTACCCGTTAGTTTCTGTTCATCTGTTATGTCATGCACCCAAAAATTATGTAAGGAATTGCCGAGTCATTTGGCACTTCATTAGCATATCGTGAACGTGAACCTTATGTTTCTTAGGAATGACACTACTTATAAAATTGTTGGTTATGCTCAAATGGAGCTAAAATATTCACGCTTGATCTGTACTTGTTGTTATTTTGTGCTTACATGTTAGTAATTTTAACTTCTTACCTATATTCCAAGCTTACCATTTTTTAACTGCTCATAGGAGGTAAAAATTTCGTCTACTAGATTGGCAGTCAATGTGATTCACTCATTCATTAGATCTGATGTCATCTAATGAACATTTCATATACTACATGTATGCCTTCATTGTTTGGTTTGTGAGTCCGTCACATATTGACATAAAGTAACGATTTATATATATCACTCATGATGGTGTTTGCTTTATGCTCTTTTTCTTTATCTTCAGAGCCACTGGATTCATTCTCCAAAGACGAATTAGAGAATGATTTTGACTTTTATGTTGCGAGTAGGACAAGGTATGAGTATTATTCTTAATCTCTCTGTAATGGGATGAGCATTTACGTATCTTTTTGCGTTGTCGTATATGTTATAGAGTAGATGGGAACTTCAATGCTCAAAATTCAATTCCAGAAGATGTAAGGGATAATTCGAGCTTGCTGAGGTAAACTCAGAATAATCCTGTTTCATCACTCATGGCAATTTTTTTGTTTATTTATACTGTCACTTGTGTTTGACTATTTGTATACTTTCTGTCAGCGAAGAGTCAATCTCATCCGCTGCTGGTAATGTGACGTCTTCTCCTTTCTCTCTGACTCACAGAAAAGCACATTCATTTGGGTTATGCATATGATAAATAGTTCTATTTGATATATAAGACATAGGTACTAATCTTAATTGGAATGTTTGCATTTTCAGTGAGGGGTGAGTCCATTGCGCATTCGCCATCAAGAATAGTGACAAGAGAGAACAGAAGAAGACATAGAAATGCTTTTCCAAACCCTAGAAATAAGTGCAGTACCGAGGACGAAAAGTGCAGAAGTATCCCAAATCCATCAAAGCGAAAATCTTCTCAGTACTCAAACTCTATTCTCCCGGAAGAGTTTGGTGCACACAACAGTTGGCAGTTTGAGGAAAGAAATGCTTCAGTTGATAAGAGTTCTGTTTCCACCTCATTCTGTCTAGATTTAGGGGCAGATTTTGCAGTCTTCGGCTCCAAGAATAGAATTGGAGATCCTTTTAGCGTCTTTACTACCCCTGAATTACACAACAAGGCCAGTCCTTCCTTTGGTGGATTGAAAAATGCAGCACCTCTTGCAGATTCAATTCCTTGCAGTTTTACCTCCGAAAAGTTTGCCTTTGATTGCTCAATTCCATTCCCCAATGTTCGGTCATGGCCAACAAGCCCAATATTATCTCCAGATTCTCAGTTCAAAGTAAAGTCTGAAGATGCTGGTGGTTTTCATTGTGAGACTTCGTCAACCGAGATGTCAGTCCGGGGAAGTGTTAGCAAAGGCGAGAGAAAGGTGAAATTGCAGAAAGACAGAAACGAAAATTTTGAGCAAGAAGGTATTTTCACGGAAGATGATGAAATGACCTCAGAAAACAAAATGGCAGGAGATGCTCCATCTTCCAATAATAATCACCCGCATGAATGTGAGGCCTCAGAGGACACAAATAGAAAGACAACACAGTGTCTTGTAACATCCAACTCTCCTAGTCATATGGAGGAGATATCATCGTTACTGAAGAAACCTGACAGACAAGAAAGCTAAGCAGATAAAAGAAAGTATGTCTATTCTTAATTCTATATTGTTTTCTCTTGGCTTGGTAGCAGGGGATATACTAAGGAAACTGAAATTTTCACCAGGAGCAATTACGACGCTGAAACTCCTCTTAAATGTAAAATTACAAATGAAGGTATGCGATTCTATGGTTTTGTCGACCTGATTTCGCTTCTATCGTATTTGCTCTTCGATTGCTTTTGATATGCAAATCAGTTCACGTTTCTATTAGATGTGGATGTAAATGCTACCCATCTTTTTACAGAAATGAGAATTTGGCAGCCTGAGGGAAGAAACGCGATGAGTGGAAAACACAATAACGATCAAATTAGCTTGTCAGGTAAGGTGATGTTTGAAAGCTATGTCTTTCAGCTTCTGCGTGTTCAAAAGGTATTGAAGGAGGCGTGTCCAACATGAAGGAATAACGCCTTCCTTGGACCTAGTAGCAATAAAATTTCTTATCAGACTTGATATTGGAGAACAAAAGAACATTAGACAATTTTTCCAAAGTGCATTTTTAATACAGATAAATTTCTCGGCGAAGTTTTGGAATAGTCTGCTTATTTAATTATTATAATAAATTCTAAGATAAATAACTCCATTAATGTAATAATTATTTATACGACTTAATTATTAAAGTATAAATTTAATATTATATTTGAGATATTACTTTAATTTTATAATATTTTAAAGTTTAATTGAATTTTTAGTTCCTAAAAATTTTATGATTCTTTTAGTCCCCATTTTTAAATTTTTTCATTAAAAGAGTTCTTTATAATATGATTTTTTTTTTATTAAATGGCCTTCTTATAGTTTTTATTTCTCATTTAGTATTTTTAAATATTATAATATTATTCATTTGGTCTTCTAAAATGGGGGATTGAATGTAATTAAAATCTATATTTAAATTCACCTCTCTCACTGTTCATTTAAATATCAAGGTTGGTCCTATTAGTTATTGTCATATTAAGTTGACATTTAATGCATCGCGGTAGGATATATAATACTAGACTCGTCCAATCAAGTCCTCTTGATTAGACGTTGATTTTAATAGGTTTAAATTTTTAAAATTAAATCTAATGTATTTTAAGAATAAACTTGGATCATAGTTTAAGTTGTCTCAACCTGGTCCAATGTCTTTTTTCTCACAAAACTTATACTTTTTAAACCAATTATATATTATTAATAAGATTTCAAAATTTGATAGATAATATTCTACAGTTGTAATATTATATTTATATTTATATTACTTATTTTAAAATATGCACTATAAAATATATTTTAATTTTATATTTTATTAATTGGATTATTTAGCCATAATGTTAAAATTGATATATTTTATTTGTAAATTGGGTTAACTTTATCCTATCTTATGGGGTTGAGTTGAGTTTAAGGATGAGAAAATGACTCAAAATTTTGAATTAGGTAAGCATGAAAATAAGCCTGTTCCATATACACTCATATCATGTAAAAGTTTTTGCTAAGTTTTATTGATATATGTATCCTTCACTGTCATGGGACTGATATAATAGATTTGTTAATAATTCATTGGCTAAAATGAAAATTTTATTAACTTAAAGATAAAAGTGAAATTGCTATAAATTTAAGAATAAAAGTGATGTCGATAAGAGAGAAAAAAAAAGGGCCAAAGTGATGAATTGCTCTTAATTTATTTTTCTATTTCTGTCCTATTGTTGGGTGGGAAAGTGTTATGAGAAATTAAAAAATATATTTAAATTTTATATAATGAATATCCATAACGAAAAGGGACATGGAGAACATTATCCACAATCAGACCGCCGGGTTGCCATTCCTATCCAATTATCTTCGGAATAGGCTTCCTTAGTTCCTTCTGATCAAAAGTTTGTAAAGGTAAAATGAAATCTCTGACGATGGTGAGATGTAGATGGAGGCCAGCATGAATGACAATAAAAAAATACAATAGTGAAGTGTGGTCCTCACTCTCGTACAATTAACAATGCAGCTAGCAAATATGATTGCCCCAGTAAAGAGCCATTATTGTTGAAAAAGACCAAGCAATTAAAATTACAGTCAAATTAAAATATGGTTGGAGATGTAAAAAATGGTTGCATTGTTGCTTATACAATGCCTACCTCATGATTATATATGCAATGTGTTTCCCTTGAAAACTTCCGCCAATATGTTTAAATTGTTAAATATATTTTAGATGAAAATTTAATTTAATTATAAAATTTACATTAAAATATAATTTATTGAGCAGATAAAACACGATTTATGAGAAATTACGTACATAGGAATGGAAATGGAGATTTTAGCTTGAATAAAAACTTACCACCAATAATTTAAAAAAATAATAAAAAATTTAAAAATAAAAATTCACCAGTAACAATTTTTAAAAAATAAAAAAATTAGTAAAAAATCTTCACTAACAATTTTTTTAAAAAATCGCCCATTTTTTTAATTTTTTTTCAAAACACTATATTTCAGTAATTTTTTTTCATATAAAAAAAATACCCTTAAAATGTTCCAATTTAAGAGGATAAAAACTGGCAGAATTGTATAGTAGCACAGGTCATATTGCTGTTGCAATGCTAATATTTTTACCAATATAAATGCCAACAGTCTTATCAACTTTGATGTGATTGCCATCAAAGCGCGTTTCACTTTTCCTAAATCGTGTTTTCAGTTTTCACATTTACAAACCTCTTCCTAATGGTCGTCTTCAATCAAGTTATCAGAACTTTATTTGATATCTCATAAAAAATAATTCACTGAAAATAAAATAAAATAATAAATTATTCATATATTGCATAAATATAAATAAAATAAAACATTTTAAAATAAATTATTTATTAATATGATGTATAAAATTCAATGTAAAATTAAAATTAATTAAGACTATAATAATTTTAACATTTAATTTACCTAACTATGATAATATATATTTTTATATGGTGCATCGAATTTTAAAATTGATAACAAATAAAGTTTGAAATTTAAATGAAATTTAATATTTAAAAGGGATAAAAATCAGTTAAAAAATTAAACGCTCGATAAAACAGAAATTCTGCCACATAATAAAAAAAAATCATAAAATTTCCTCTTAAAATAAAACTAGAATTTAATATAAAATAAATAAATATGAAATTATCAATTAGACATTTGATTATACTAGATACGAATACAACACAGAAAAAAAAATACAAAATTCAAGAGTTAATTAAAATACCTGCTTTATTTTCTGGCTACAAAAACTAAAAGAGAAAAAATAAAAAATAAAAAAAATATTAATGAGCTTACCTTGAGAGATGAGCCTGATCTATACACAAGAGAAATCTGAATTCTGTGCAGTAAAAATTTACTGCATCAAAAAATTATATTTATTATTTTAAAAATAAAAAATTATTTATTTGAATGATAAAAATCTTCAATAATAATATTAGAGCAGAAGATGCTTCTCCCGAAGAAGAGTGTGCAGATATTGATAAGACCACACGCATCCCTACTTCTCAGGTTGAGTCTGATTGCCAGTCTTATCGTTTCAATTCTCAGATTAATTGTTTTATATAAACAATATTTTATTCTTTTATGATATACTATTTTAATTATATTTCATTAATAATTTAAAATACATTAATAAATTATTTATTTATAAAAATATTTATCTAGTATTTAAAATTTTTTAGACAGCGTTAAAATAATTAATATCTTTAATATTAAAAAACATAAATTAATATAACATAAAATTTGAAAGAATAAAAAAAAGTTAAAATATTAAAATATAATTCATAAACTTATTTATGTATTTTCATATCAGAGTAGTAATTAAATATTTGTAACAATAGATTAATAAATTAATTATCTTCATTTACCCTCACATGTGAATTGATTTATAATATATGCTTTATATTTATACTAATTTACTTTATACAGTTTATGATTAAATAAATAATATTTAATAAATATTACATAAATGTATGTTTTAATATTTTGCTTTATATATATATATATAATTTTTATATACTAAAATTTTCATTATTTAAATCATTTAAAACAAAAAAAAAATATATAAAATAAATTTGAAATAATTTAAAAAAATATGTGACACTTTTAATATTAAAAAAAAATGCTATATTACACTTTTGATCAAATAACTTTAAACACAAAGCTTTTGTCATTTTATTTAAAAAATTAATTTAAAATTAAATTTAATTACAATATTGAGTATTTTAATATTATTTTTAATTAAATTGAAATTTTAATTAATAAATAATACAAAGAGCTGATAAATATTGTCCATTAATTTAATGATCTTATTTAATGGCTCAGGACCGTACGTTTTGTATTAAAATATATATATATTATGATAATATGATGTGGTTGTTGGAACCAATACATTGATATATCCCATTAACTCATTATTCATTAAGCATTTCTCAAACCTCATAATTGCATTTTGGCAAAAATGATGTAATCACTTTTGGACATTTTCTGATAACATGCAAACTTGTGAGTGGCTCAATTTTATATTTGCTTGATGACAACTATTTTTAGGAAAATAATAATTTAATTCTTAATTTTCTTTTAGTTTAATTGATTTACTTTTTACAAATATATTTCTCTCTTTTTCTAATTTTTAAAAAGGATTATTTTTTCTTTGTATTAAGTCAAACTATATGCTACAATTTTTAACATAAAATAACATAATTTAAAGGCTTATACAATTTTCTATAATAGGTTGTACTTTATTAGTTTTTCAACATTTTTTTATTCAAAATTCTCTTAAATATTTAATTATTACAAATCAAGTTTTTCCGTCACTTTTTTATTCACATAAAATCCTTAAATCATTATTTTCTACCCAAATAATTGTAAATTCAAGATGAACTTGAGATGTACAAAATTATTTAAAGTGAAAAACAGAAAAAATGGTGACACATGAACAATTAAGTTAAGGTTTTGATGCTTTGAAGATATAAAACTTCAAAAATTGTAATTTTGAATAAAATATGATATTTTGATAGATAAGTTTTCAGCAAAAGATGGTTTAAAATTTATAGAAATCTACAGAACAAAAAGAGATAACAATTTATAATAGTTTTAAACATAAGAAAACTGATGGAATAACATAATTATAACAATTAAACTATCAAGAAGCTAAATTTGAAATCTTTTTAAGAGAACAAAACATAAAATGACCAAAGTATAGAAAGACAGAAAAAATATGGTATTCATGTTCTTAAGAACAACTCTCATGTGCAGTTTTTTCAAGCTTACATGTTTACGTGAAGTAGAGAAAAAAAATGATATTATATTGGGGAGATAGTTGTTCTTGTTGAGCACCTAAAAAAATGCTATTTGAAAGGATAATGGCAACTAAGAATATTGCTGTCGACAACCACAGAATAATGCATTTGAGTTTAAGATATATTGCTGTCCATGTTACAACTAACCTACGACACAGTTTACTTCTTCTAGATTTCTTAATGCAAAAGCTTTCATGCACCAATCAAACATTTTTGTAATAAAATAGTGCTTCTATATGAACTCAATCAGCTATTAGCAAATTAACTTCAATCTTTGGCGAAGTCTAATCCAATTAATGAATGTTTAATTATATGTTGAAACATGTTTATATATATATAACCATACCCCAAAAAAGTATTGTTGAAACTCAAATTAAAACTACCTCATGCATACACGTAATTGCATATATGCTGATGTGATTGAATAACATACACTAAAGTCAACATGAAATTTCTATTATTAATTGCCGACCCAAAAGTTCTCTATTAATTTGGTAGCATTGTGTTATTAAGATATGATGTAAGCATAATTAAGATGTGAAGAAACGTCCATAGGAAGCGTGTGATGAGATTATAGCACACGATCAACGAGTTTTAATCTTGTAATTAAAATAAATGATTAACATATTATTGTAATATTTTAAAAGATATTTTTTACGTAAAAGTTAAAGATGGTATTGATTATTATTATTATTTTAATAATAATTTTTACTCATAAAAATTTTGAATACAATAAATAAAATATTTTTATTAATTAAGTAGTATGATTGTTAAAAGAGAAACTCATTAATAAATAATATATATATTTTTCAAATTTTTCTGCTAAAATATTATATTTTTTGGTGTATATATATATATAGTTTGTGTTGTCAAAATGATTCAAAGTAGTTGATCAATAATTAAGTCTGAGGCGTACAGAACACTATTCTTAAAATTTATTTCAGTATAGTCGAAAATCATTCAGGATACAATATACTCTTCTTATTTGAATATATAAGGCTTTCAAGAACTAATAAATTCCCTCAACTCATAATCTAGAGAAATAAATATAATAAAAGTCTGTGCATATTTCGTGCCTTTTTGTACGGTTTTCTTAAAAGATTAAAATACCTTAATTACTATAATTAATCAAGTAAACGTTACATATAACTGAAAATATAATTAATAATAATAATTAAATTAGAGTAATAAAATAAAATAAATAATTAATAAATTCTTTTAAAATATAATTATATTATTTCTAACAGTTTATTATTTATTTGAACAAATAAGTAAAAATAAAGATTATAATTAATTAAAATAAACATTGACTATATACATGCACAATTTACATCACTAAGGCTTATAGTTCGGATGTAGTCAATAACTAGCTCGAAACTTATTCAAAAACTTATAGTTTATAATTGAATTATAACTGTTTGATAACTTTTATTGTATAATTAATTAAAATCGTTAAATATCTAAAAAGTAATAATATTATACTAATACCAAATATTGAGATTAAATATTATTTTATTTACTTATTATCAACTATGTAATTCAAAAGTTATTTTTTATTTAATATCACCATTATTTAGGTTAGAAAGGAGGGAAAGAGTGAATAAGGGCAATAGTGAGGGATGGAATAAATTATTTAAAAATTTAAAAACAAAAAAAGCATTAATAGCTAATTTCTAATAAATTTAATTTAATTTTAGTTTTGTCTTTATAAGTCAACTTTTAAAAGTTACAATTAGTTATTTTTTTTATTCATCAAATAAGTTTATTAATTTATTAAAAAAATATAAACTCCAAATAAACTATAAATTTATATTCTCAAAATTAACACCTCTCCCTTCACTAAACATGTTACTTATATATATACAAACAAGTAATATTACTTTTTTTTAGAAGTATAAAAAAACTAATTATTATATAAAATAAGAATAATAATACATACTGTTAAATGTTATTAGAATAATATATATATGAGAAGCATTCTTAAGAAGAGGACAAAATTTTCGAGAGCGATTATTGAAAGAGGCATGTAATTGTGACATACGCAAATTAGTCTCACAATTAATGATTATAGGAACACTCTCATCAAATATACTTTGGAATTAAGTGAAATTAACGTAGAAAGTAAAAAAATATTTATCTACATATATATTCACGCTTTCTCATTCAAATTATTTATTTATTTTTAATTTAATTATTGCTTTTAATTTTGTTTCATTATTTTAAAGTTATTTTATGTATATATTTCTTGATTTTTCATATTTTCAATTCTTCAAATTTTTTATTTCATAAGTTGAAATATTTTAAAACAATGTTACATGGTATATTTTGAATTTTTTAAAATTTTAATTGCTTCATTTATTTCTCATTAACTTTTAATTTTATTGTTATTATATATACATTGTTAAGTTGTAATATTTTCAATTTTATATTTTTAGTAGTCATTTTATATATGGTAATTTTCGTTAAAAATTATAAAATATTAAATATAATTAATTTTAATAAAATTAATTATTTAATTAAAACTTATCATATATCCTTGACATACGTTAACAAGAATAAAATTTGTTTAAACATTCACCACACGAGAGCAAAAGCATTGACTTTAATGAGCATTTGGCAACAAAAACCTTTTTGCTTCATTGCCCATCATTAATAATTGCCTTTTTTAAATATATATTTTTTGGTCCCATAATAAGAATAATAATGCCAATATAACAAATAATAATAATAATTAATAATTCCTTTTTCTTTTTAAAGTTTTAAAATGCCACCTCACCTACATGTGCAAGCACGGACACATGTTTCACCTAACACCAATGAAACAAAGGGTGAGACAGGAGAGTCCAAATCACAGTCACAAAGAGACATCCCCAAGACCCGCGGGTGACAGTATCACTGTCCTCAAAGTAAAAACCTTGTAAAAAGAAAAGAAAAGAAAATAAACGACTTGTATGCGTTAAGGTTAGCGGTGGTGTGTGTGTCTTCAAGTGTCGTGCATGCATTTTATGCATCTGTTGCTTTGCATGCACACACTCTCTCTCTCCTCTCTTTCTCTCTCTACAGAGACGCCCTCAATCCCAATGCACCCTCGTTTTCTCTCTCTAAAAACCCAGGTCAATTCCATTACTCTCTGCTGATTTTTTTTGTCTGTTATTCTTCGTTGTTTTTGCCTTGTTCTTCTTCAGCCTGGTGTTCATGTAACAGATGATGCTTGTGGTTGCATAGATTTGAGGAGATAGATAGCCAGCACTGCAAAGTTGGGTTCTTTCTTGTTCATTTGAATGACCCTTTAGTAGGTTCTCTTTTGGGGTGATACAAAGGTTTGTTTTTTCATTTGGGATTTTTTTTGTTACCCCTTGGTAAATCTTGAAACTTTGTGCATGGATGTGAATTAATAATAATTTTGTGAGTTATGAGTAAAAATATAATTTTTTTGCTTTAGGGTTTTTGATTATGTTTTTGATTTTGGGTTCTGTGTATTTGGTAGTGGAATTTCGGAATTTGGATTGATGGGTTCCGATATTTGCGTCGTCAATGGTTCGTGCACCCACGATTGGAGGAAGGGTTGGCCTCTGCGATCTGATGGATTTGCTCAACTATGCTGCAAGTGCGGGTAAATTTGAGACCTTTTGCTTTGAATTTCATCTATTCATCAAATTTCGGGTGATTGGATGCTGCAAGGGTAGCTTTGGGATCATGAATTTGGGCTGTGCGTCCATTGATGTTGTTTGCAAAATTGGAGATATTTTTGGTTCTTGATTTTGATTTAATCTCGTGGGAGTTCCAATTATTTTTGTAAGGTTCAACCTTTTTTCCCCTTCCCCGGATTTTCTGCTTTTAACTTATAAGTGTATATGTGAATTATAAAAAAAAGGTTCATTGACGTCAATAATACTAAGTGCATAATTCAGAGAACGATGTATATATAGGACGTATTACTAATTTCATAACAAAACGCTAGTGATAATGTATTATGGGAGCCAGGGTAGAAACGGAAACTGTGAAAGTGTTGTTGTTTGAGGATGAGGACCAATGTAGCTAATTTGGGAATTAGTTCTGAATAATGAATTGGCATGGGTGTTCAGGTCATAAAATGTTGAAATAAAATTCTTAGTTATTAGTAGTAAATAATAATTTATATATTTTTAGATTGTTATTTTGTTTAATATTTTTTTGGCTTCTTTCTTTGATGCTAGATTTATGGAGGAATGGAAACGTGACATCCTTGATCCATTGTAAGTGTAACAATATGGTAAATGTAGATGATCAGGTGGCAAATATATTGCTTTTTTCCTTACTGTTAATTGTAATAAAGGATCGATAGATTCATTTGCAATATCTCATTACAGTTCTACTCTTCTAGTACAACTGTATTAGCAAGTAATTGATGTCAGAGGTGTTACTGTTTACATAAAAAAACATTAGATATCTCATTCTGATTAGTTTGATTTAATGTATATTTATGCAGTTGACTTTATGTAGTTTATATATTTTTTTAAATGTTGCTTATAATTTGATTTTTTGTGGTGTATAGTTTTACTAAATTTTCTTAGCTACTGTAATTGTAATTGTAATTGTTGCTTCTAACTATAATGATGCATACTACTCCTTGATAGTGTAGGGTATGTTAAAGAGTTGAGTGGTAGTCAATAATGTAAGAATCAAAGGAATGAGTTCCTACATGTCCATACTTAAAAAATATTGTGTTTGTTATAAATAGAAACATAATTTCGCATGATTATTGATCAACTCCACACTTTACTCTGCAAGGTGCACATTGCATTTCCAAGGATAATTTTCCTATAAAATTTTTCACTAATTCGAATGTAACTTAGGTTTAGTTTTCTTTTTGAAGTTTTCTGTAGGCGATTTAATATTTTCTCCCACTGCTCTTATCTTCCCTCAATTATACCATTGGTAACCTTGCCATGCATTTTGATTAGTAATAATTCATATATTGATTCTTTATATTTCTCACTTGGAAATCCTCAATATGAAACTCCTTGTGCTTTAGATCTGCCTATGAGAATTCAGTTTTCTGTAACAAGTTCCACCGTCAACAAACTGGTTGGGGGGAGTGTTACTTTTGCAACAAGGTAAAGTGGCTATTTTTTATTTGAATTCCATTCAGGCATTCTCTTTCTCTTCTTAGTCGCTAAAATCTATTTGACTTTGTTCGGCAGCCTATCCACTGTGGATGCATAGTATCTAGATCTTTGTTCGAGTATCTTGACTTTGGTGGTATAGGTTGTGTGAGCTGTGTAAATACTTCCCAATTGAGTATGGTAAGTTTTTAATCTAGGTTTTTTCTAGTATTCACATTAGTAATTTTAGTTTATGGTTAATTTATTTTCAATGCAATAGACTTTCTGTCTCATTTTTTGGTAAATCTTGCTTCTGGAATCTCAATTTTACTCACTCTTGTCTAAATTTTCATTGCATTATTTAACGCAATGTTTGGTCACTAGTATTATTTTTGTGACTATTTTACTGATATATTGTTCTTTCTTAGAAATTGCTATTAAAATGGTTGGTATCAATTTTAATGTGTAGAGCTGTAGCTTCTTTGTTTTTTTGTATTTTGATTTTATATAGCTTTTAAATGTCTATGCTTAAAACCAATACTCAGGACATTACTTAAGCAATGTTTGATAGTTGGGCTTTCTCTGTTATTGTCCAAGAACCCATATGTGTTGAGTGTGTCACACCAGACTTTTGCCCATCAACTGTATGGAATGCTTGCATATGCTTCTGATTTGAATGACTTATATAAAAATGATAATTTGAATTGAAGAACCTCAAGCGTTTGGTATAGAATTATTATTTTTTATTTACATTCAGCAAATTGTTAGTGCTTGCTTGTTGGTTCCTTTTAGTGATCCTGTGCTTTGGTATTCTAGTACAGTTATTTGAAATTATTTTCATTCTCAATCTCTGTCTGGCAAAGTTTCACAGATTCCTTTTATGTGGTGCTTTTCTGCAGATGAGGAATACTGAAAATCCAAATGGGTCTGTTTCATCGACCAAAAATAATGCAAGTGATCGACATTCTGCTCAGTTCGATGGCCGACTATTTATGGGCGGTGTTGATGAAGGAAAACTTATGCAATTCTGCAAAATTGTTGAAGCTAGTGAATCCAGTTGTTGGAATCAAGCTCAAAGAGATGGTTTAGTTGCACGTACTGGGCAAAGCAGCCAAGAAGCTAATAATTGTTCATTCAGGGAAAGGGATACTGGATTTTCAAATGTTATGAAATCATCTGTTCAATCATTAACATTTGCCACAGTAGAAAACAATAGATCAACATGGGAAATTAAAAACAGTCATGAATCAAATTCACAGCAATCTTTGAACATGTATTTGGGAAATCCATCAGGGAGCAACTCTGTCCCACCACCTGCTGGAGAGGCTGTAGAAGGAAGACTTGAGGGAAAAGCGTCTCATCCCTTTCATCAAGCCCAAAGATCTCGCCCTATATTTCCTAAACCATTGAAGACAGGGCTTACCATGAACATGGAAACAGATAAAGGCACAACATCTCAATCACGTATTGCTCGGCCACCTGCTGAAGGCAGGGGCAAGAATCAGTTACTTCCTCGATACTGGCCCAGGATTACTGATCAAGAGCTGGAGCGATTGGCTGGAGAGTATCCTCATATTTTTTGAACATATATAGTAAACTCTGATAAGTTGAAATTGGTTTGTCAGTAGTTTCCCTTAATGTTATGATAACAGTTTGAAGTCCACTGTAGTGCCATTATTTGAGAAGGTGTTAAGTGCCAGTGATGCAGGTCGAATTGGTCGTCTTGTTCTCCCTAAAGCCTGTGCTGAGGTATTCTTAGAGTTCAGTTTTCTTTGATTGGTTGTTTCCTTTGCTTGCGTTGTTATCTCTGTACAGGTCTATGGAACAGTGTCTCTGAAGCTATCCCAAAAGTCCTTGTTTTTATTAACAAATATTGAATTGTCTCTTCACCCTATATTTTCTGAACATCTTACAAACTGGCACATCAATTGCAGGCTTATTTTCCTTCTATTTCACAATCCGAAGGTGTTCCTTTGCGAGTGCAAGATGTGAAGGGAAATGAATGGACATTTCAGTTCAGATTTTGGCCTAATAACAACAGTCGGATGTATGTATTAGAGGGTGTGACGCCTTGCATACAGTCCATGCAATTACATGCGGGTGATACTGGTATGCATCAATATAGGGAAAAGATCTTGCACATACCCATTGCATTACAGTTTTGGCATTTGAATTTTGATTTATGTGAAATTTTATATAAGATACACGTTTTTTTATAGTAATATATGCTTTTGTAATTTTGTTTACCCAAGCAGAAATCCCACTTAGGTTATTTATTTTTAGTCATTGATACATATGACCCATAGATCGACTGGTTTGTGTTATAGTTTTTATTCCAATGATTTTCTTAAGACAAATGGAAGTATTCTTGCCTTATAGAATTGATCTGTTGTACATTATTTATTATTTACTATGTTGAGGCAAACTTGAGATATTTTTTGAGAAGTTAATGTCTTGCAAATCTGAAATTACTATTCTTTCATATGATATTGTTATGCAGTAACATTTAGTCGCATAGATCCTGGAGGCAAACTTGTTATGGGATTCAGAAAAGCATCAAATTCTACAGATACACAGGTTGTGACACAATTTTCCATTTTACCATCTGTGACCTTGTCTTTGAATAATACATTATTATTATTATTATGTTTATGTTGGCGAATATGATAAATAGCTATTTTTAAAACAGGATGCATCCACATCTGCACAATCCAATGGCATTTCAGCAAAGGGAACCACCTTTTCTGGTGGAACTGAGAATCTTCCATCAGGAAGTAATCATTCTGATCTTCTCCATTCAATTAAAGGGAATGCCGAATCTATCTTGAATGAACATGCAGAACATCATTCGGGTACTGGAACTGCGGGGTTGCTTAAAATTGAGAGTTATGAGATGACAAACAATAATTCACTTCAGCAACAAATTTCAGTTTTAGAGAAGAAGAGGACTCGCAATATTGGGCCTAAAAGTAAGAGGTTACTAATTGATAGTGAAGATGCAATGGAGTTGAAACTTACATGGGAAGAAGCACAGGATTTGCTTCGTCCACCACCTAGTGTCAAGCCTAGCATTGTCACAATTGAGGACCAAGTATTTGAAGAGTATGATGTAAGTGCAACAATGTCAAATCCGTCAATATATTTATTTTTTAGGTTAGCTATTACAAGGTGAAAACAGGCTGATATAATTTGGAGCATCTTGTGTTCAAATTTCTTTTGTGGCTAATCTATGTGACTTATGTGCTTCATTTCATTTAGGAACCCCCAGTTTTTGGAAAGAGAACTTTATTCAGTGCCTGTTCATCTGGGTAAGAATCCAAACTTTTTGCATATTTAGCTTTGTATTTGGTACAGTAGAAAGTGTTGACCGAGTACTAGGCAACTTTTTGGTATACTATTATCCTGGATCCATCTGCTGTGAGAAGAATTATACTTGCAGAATTAGGCATTAGATCTTTATTTATTCTCTCCACAAGATAATTTGGATTTGGCATATTGATGATGTAAGCAAATTTTCAACTTGTGCTTGAATTTGTCAACTACTTCATCCAGGGGGAAGGAACAATGGGCTCAATGTGATGATTGCTCTAAATGGAGAAAACTGCCAGTTGATGCTCTTCTTCCTCCCAAGTGGACATGTTCTGAAAATGTTTGGGATTCAAGCAGGTGCTCCAATATTATTATTATTATTATTATTATTATTTTTAAGACCCCCTCTATATATGAAGTAGCGGTTAAAATGATTTACAATTACAAATCTAATTATGGACATTGTTTTGTCAGGTCTTCATGCTCTGCACTAGAGGAGCTAAGTTCAAGGGAATTAGAAAATCTTCTGAAAACCAGCAAAGGTCTGATCCTGATATGTGTCTTTTGGAATAGCTCTGTGTATGTCATGTTTGAGATTTGGTAGAGGTTGATGTTGCTATTGCTGCACAATTGATTGAATGTTCATAATACATGATGCGTCTATACAAGTTCTACATTTATAATATTATCTGGATGTGTCAAATGATGTCAGAATTGGCATGAATATATATGCTTATTAAATTCTCTGCTTAGATTCCAACACTATGATGCCCTAAATATGGCTTAATGCGGAAGTTGCTTGGATTCTATGCTTTATGTTTTGGTTGAGTTCTTTCAACTTTCATACCATGTTGCCGCGTTTGGTGGTGGATATCTCCATTGCCAGTTGGACTGCAAAAACCAAAATGAGTTTTTCTTTGTGCCTTCTCTTTGATCTAGTTCATTGGAGACTATTATGGTTGCATTCAATTTGTCCTTGATGGTTGGTATATATTGATCCCTGAATCTTTCTGGCTGCACTTTGGTGTTTCCCAGACATTAAGAAGCGGCGAATTATAGAAAGCAACAAGTCCATCCAAGAGCCCGAGCCTTCTGGCTTAGATGCTCTTGCCAGTGCAGCAGTTCTGGGAGAAAATCTCCTCGACCCAGCTGCCGAATCATCTACTGGAGCCACCACCAAACATCCTAGACACCGTCCTGGCTGCTCTTGTATCGTATGCATTCAGCCCCCAAGTGGAAAAGGTAGACACAAGCCAACATGCACATGCAACGTGTGCATGACCGTGAAGCGCCGATTCAAAACCCTCATGCTAAGGAAGAAGAAACGCCAATCAGAACGCGAAGCAGATGCCGCCCAAAAAGATCAAGTTCATCAAAAAGACGAGTCGGACGCCACCGGAGCATCAAGAGATGATACAAGCCATTTGGAGAAAGAGGGTGGACTTAAAAGAAGCCAACATGAAGTGGGTGAATCCTGTGCTGGACAAATAGACCTGAATTCTCACCCCAACCGTGAAGACATGCAAGTTGATACCACAGCACTTGGCATGCCTAGTCATCTTGAAACAACAAACCATACACCAAGGGAATATGTGAACCAAAATGGCCTAAGAAGCTTTAATAGTGAACTGCATGCTAATGACCATTCTTTGCACACTCAATCCAATGAAAGATGCTTTACTTCCATTGTGTGGAACCAAGAAAAAAGAAAAGATGATGTACACAATCATCCCAATCAAAGTCAAAACAATCTTTCTTAACATTTTATTTATTTTTATATTTATTCCTTTTTTTTCTTGATTGGATTTTTTATGTTTCTCCTTACTTGCATTCTCACAGTACATATTTTGCTTTCTTTTTCAAAGGGGTGGTCGAAGATAGTTCTTTTATATTTTTTAATCAAAATAATGTAATTTTTACTCTCGGTTTTCGTTGGAGTATTTTTTTTTTTATTAGAAGTGGTTCATGCACTTTTTTTTTGACAATGTATTTGTTTGTGGTTTATATGAATGTAACATAGGAAAAAGTTAACCTTTTCAAGCTTCTGTTACTTTCTGCTAATCTTGAGAGTTATTTTTCAAGATTCTACGACAGTAACAATACCATTTAGTGGCATGTAGTTTTGTATGATGATTAGCTGAGCTAAAGAGAGTTCTTATGATAGTATATCTAAGATTTTCACTTGCTGATGACAATTTTTTATTTGACAGTCGAGAGTTTAGTTTTTTTTTAAGGGTTTAAATGAACTTTTAGTCTCTATAAGAATTTTTTTTTTATAATTTAATTTTTATAAGTAAAAAATTTATACATCAGTTATTATTAAAAATTTATTTGTAATTGTCTTTATCATACGTGATAATAACGTTGACGCTGGTATGATAGTGATAATAATATCGACTCTTTTATTTGGCTGTGTTACCTTATTTATATGATTTAAATTGTCTTGGTCTCTACAATTTCTTTTGTTATTTAATTCTTTTAGATAAAAGAATTTATATATTAATTCATATGAAAATTTATTTATAATTTTATCCTTATTATTATTATTATTATATGAAGTGATATTTTTCTGGCATTTTTTAAAGGAGTTTCAAAATTTTTAAAGAAGCAAGGTTCTTATTTTTTTAATTCATGACATTTAGTTTTATTATAAAAATTAATATTTATTTATTCTAAATTCTTATAAGAATTATTTAGACAAGATATATTTTGTTTCATGAGCAATACTTCTATCATTTTTCATTATAATTTTTATTTCTTTTTTTTATTATTCTTATTTTAATATTTTGAATTTTAGTCATGTCTCTGTCTTTTCTCATTTTTGATACATTTATAAGAAAATCTAGAATCTCTTTATAAATAATCACTATCACTATTATTTTTATTAATTTCTGAATTGAAAATGTATAAATTTTTTTGAAAGAATTTAAAATATTTATTTAAAGATAAAAAAAATAATATTTGATACTAATATAAAAATATCACTGTAATAATAGGAATAAAATTATAAATAAAATTTTATATAAGAATTGATATATAATTTTTTTTTTTTTTGCATATAAAGATTAAATTGCAAAATAGGATCTTGTATAAAAACTAAAAGATAATTTAAAAACTAAAAATTGTAAATAAAATTGTTATAACACACTATAATGACATAGACAAAATTAAAAATAAATTTTTATATAAAAATTAATATACAAATTTGTTTATTTATAAGAATTAAAATAAAAAAAGCCTTGTATAGAGATTATATATATAATTTAAATTATTATTGTTATAATTGTTTTTGTTAAAAAAAAGAGAATTACGAGTCTTTTCATTTTACAATTTGAAAGTTTTTATTTATTTTTTTAAATTACATTTATGTCAAATGTTATCAAGTTTTATATATAAAGATGTTATTATATTCAATTAAATTTGATTTTCTGCTTCTTTGTTGCGGCTTCTTATACAGTATTAATCCACTTTTAAATGAAATAAAATGGCATATGAAAATGTAAGTTTAATTTTGTACTCTTCGTGTACAAATTTTTATATTATTATTAAAATATGTTAGATATATATATTTTAAATTAATTATTTTAAAAGTTAATAATTTGCATTGATATGATAAGCTATAATTAAATGTATCACTGCATTTTGTATGTTGAGGTACATTAGAGATGCAAGTACTGATTTTATTTTTTTTACAATCACAACAACTTTTTTATAAGTTTTATGATCGTTTTTAAAATAGGTATAATTTTATTCAAAACAGGTGTAAAATAAAAATTCAGTTAATACAGTAACAAACAAGAGCAGTGATCTTAACGACTCAAAATAAGTGTCTACATCATACATCCAGTGTTTTCTGGGGTTGAATTTAAAAAAAAAATTATTTTATGTATAAAAGAATTTAAATAATACTAATATAGTAGAAAGTAATATAAAATGATTATAAAAAATATTTTAATACCTAAAAATACTAGATGTGAAGTGTAAGCACCCATTTTAGGTGTTAAAATAACATATCTGAACAAACAATGAATGTCTAGACAAAAGGAAGAAAAGGTAAGATAAAGAAAATAGTTTGGTAGCCAAAGAAGAATGGTTGACTGAGCATAAGTATAATTTTATTTTTATCCCTTTTCATAGGGTGCATGCAACATTTTAGGACAACTAAAAATTATCTCTTTTTAACTTTTTTTACTTTATTTGTGAGAGATATATAAAAAAGCTAAAAAGATATCATATTCAATGTAACATATAAAGTTAATTCTTAATTATTCAAATATCATAATAACATAAATTTTCCAAGTACATTTTTCAGTGCATTACATGCACCATCATCCTAAACTCCACCAATTAATTTTGACCCCTTCTTCACACTAATGACAATGACGCATTTCCTTACGACTTTTTTCATTTAGCGATTCATTCCCCTTATTTAACTAAACATTTGTTGCTTCATGTTCATATATGGGGGTCACCAAGGTAAACTTAATCTTTACTGAATTTGACGGTGGTATAGTTCTGCTGCTAATCTTGGTTTTGCCATTGCGACAAGTGGCTCAGCGAGAAAAATTTCATCATCGGACTCAGCAAGGTTAATTGTTGAAACATTGGGTGGTGCACTCCAAGTGAAGCCATGAAGCAACCTAGCAAATAGCATCACAGTCATAGTAGTGCCAAGCATCACTCCAGGACAACCACGTCTTCCAATACTGAATGTCATGAACCTCAAATCTGGCTCTGTCAAAACGACATCGGATCCATCACTCTTGAGGTGTCGTTCAGGTTTGAACTTGAGGGGCTCATTCCACACTTTTGGGTTTCTCCCCAGTTCTCGTCTTCCTATGATTACATGGCTACCCTTAGGGATGAAGTAGTTTCCCACAGTTGTGTCACTCATAGAGACATGGGGTGGAATGAAAGGTGCAATGGGATGAAGCCGAAAAGCTTCTCTTGCACAAGCCTTCACATAGTTGAGCTTTGGAATGTCTGATTCTTGAACAAGCCTTTCTTTCCCTACCACACTGTCCAATTCTTCCGTCGCTCGTTGGAGTAACTCTGGTTGGTTTATCATTTCAGCTAGTGCCCATTCAAAAGCATTTGATGGATTGTCCATTGTTGCAAGCATTAGTTCCTACAAGAAATAGTTTGATTTGAGTTTGAGTATTGATGTTTAAATTTATATTTTTAACATGCAGAAAATAGAACTAACTGGCATGCATCATGTTATTTTCCATCGCCTTTAATTTTCCATCTCTTAATTAAAAAGTGACACTTGAGGGGAAGATAAGAAAAAAGGTCAGCATAAGATATATATGGTTATAGTGTTTACATATGCAATTGTAATGCATGTATGAGAAATAAAATAGGAAAAGTGAAATATATTACTATAATTTGCGCTTTAATTTCCTTCAGTGTCAATGATGGGTTGTGGTTTGCATCTTTCAGGGAGAGTAGAATGTCAAGCCAGTCCTCTTCATTAACCTTTAATCCATTATTCCATTGTTTCATTCTCTTTTGAATGATGGGATCATGATGCTTATTCACGATCCTCAAAACTTCTTTCACCTTCCTTTCCTGGCCATCCAAGTCAAGTCCCCTCAAGCATGGGATATAATCAGAAAGAGAAAAGGCATAAACATACTTAATCAAATCAAAGACGGAATCAACATGTTCAACTTCCTCAAGACCAGGCCCTCCATCATTTCTACCTTCCCCAAAATACCTTGTGTTAAAAATAACTTTCCTGATCAAGTTACCACAGTAATGCCTTGCAGCACTCCTAATATTCACAAGGCCACCATCAACACCACCATCATGGTTCACATTTTTGCATTTGTTGTAGACGTAAAACATTATGTTGTCAGCTTCTGCAGCCCTTCTGTCATGAAGCCATTGGTGCTTTTGTGGGGAAAGCAAATCATGGGTTATGATTTTCTTCATTTTCTTCCATTGGTTCCCAAAGGGCCCAAAAAGTGTGGTAGAATATCCATCACTAATGAGTTCAGTGCACATGCTTAGTGATCTTGATGCAAAAGTTTCATCTTGTTTTCTCAAGAACTCAGTGGCTATGGTAGGACATGTCACTGGGATAACATAGGCATTTCCTAAGCGGAAACATGCAATTTCAGTGTTCATTTCTTTCATGAGTTTGTTTATCCACTTTTGGACAGGTTTGTTTGTAAGCATTTCAGGAAGGTTACCAACTATAGGCCATGGTTTGGGACCTGGTGGGAGTTTCGGCTTTTGTTTGTTGGAATATTTCTGAATCGCGTCAGATCTTAGGGCTTTGATGATCATAATAATGCCAGCGATTACAGCAAGGAAAGAAGGCCAAAAGCCTTGAAGTTGTGACAACAAAGGCAAAGCCATAGCTTTGAAAGGGGTTTTGGGATAAAAAGGATGAGTTGGTGAATTATTTGGCTACGGTTTAGAGGGAAAACGGAAGATGTCTTGCCTTTTTTTCTAATGAATGGTTCTGCTTGGGAGAAGTTTGATCACTGATACCCTATTTAAAGGATGCTAAATAAGTATAATTTTATTTTATGTCAAAACAGGTGTAAAATAAAAACTTGGTTGTATTTTACTATTTTTTTTTATTTAGCATTATAAATCGTTGTAGATGCAGAGTCAATATGTGAATGCAATTTGATTTATTTTGGGTAGGTGAACTCTTCAATACCATACTTCTAATTTAAATATCCCGTTTATTTAAGTATGGGTAAATAATCCAAGTATTAGTAGTTAACGTGCAGGAGATATTTTTAACTAGGCCCCATTTATCGCATATTTTTATTAAATATTTTTTAATAAATTGAATGTTTATTAAAAAAATTAATTAAGAATTATTTTAAAAAATATTGGAAAAGGAAAACATAAATTGTTTAATAAAATTGTTGCCTAACTTATTTTATTATTTCATTACATCTATTGGTAGAATCAACTTCCGGAATCATAGGTTACGTGTAAAAGCGTGATTAAGCAAACTAAGTATATAAATATCATTGCACATGCTGATTGAGTATATAAATTAATGTAAAAAAGGTATAAATAAGAATTGAAGAGTAAAAAAATAATAATAATAGATATGTTAAGTAGTATAATAATAACATGAAAAAAAAAAAATAGACTGTAAAAATTAGGATTAAAAAATCACCTTGTTATAAATATAATTAGTTTCACTAGTACAAAAGAACATTTTTTACAATAGAATTTTACATCAATTTTTTGTAAAATAAGGTAAAAAAAAATATAGTGATATTTTTAAAATTTTTGTAATCTTTTTTACATCAGTTGTTAAAAAAACCGATGTGAAAAATATTTTTTACATCGGTTGTAGAAATAATCGATGTAAGAAAAAAATGCGATGACATTTTTGAAATTTATGCAAACTTTTCTACATCGGTTGTTTTTACAACCAATGTAAAATGTACATTCTACGTCAGTTATTTTTGGGACCCGATGTAGAATCCATTTAAATTTCAAATTTTCATATACGTGCTAGTGAAATAGCATAAATTAGAGACTCAAACACATATATTTTTAAGTTTTTGAAACTTCTGTTTTGTTAGCTAAGTGGACAACAAACATGCAAAGGTTTTTCAGGTACATCAATTATTTTAATTTCTTTCTTTTTTTTGTTGTTTCACTTTTTGTTGTTTCTTCTTTCTTATTAAAAGATTTGATGAACATTGCATCTTCTTTATATTTCAGTTTCAAATAAAGATGAATAATAATGAAACATGATTACACAATAAATACGACAAACACAACAAACATGATGAACATAATTAACATGACGAATATGAAGAACACGATGAACTTGAAGAATACGATGAACATGAAAAATACGACGAATATCATAAACACTGATGTTCATGAATTTCAATTTAGCTTAAAAAAATATATTGGTAATATTGACGCGAACGTTGAAACTTTTAGAGAAGAAATATTGATGCCATTGACAAAAATAAATATTAAGAACATTTTTTATATAGGTTATTATAAATAATCGATGTAGAAAGTGACACTTCTTACATTGATTTTTAATAACCGATGTAAAAAGTCTCATACTTTCTACATCATTTATATTTATATCGGATATATAATTAATATAAAATGTCTCTTTTAACCAATATAAAAAGCCTTTTTTTCACTTAGTGTTTGCAGGTGTCCATATTTAATAATAGATTAATTTGAAGAAATAATTTTTTATTTGGTAAATTATTGAAAATAAATAAATATTTTAAAATAAAATTGCACTAGATTCGTAATTTTTTGTCCACAGCTGATCTCCTTTGTTAAAAAAATAATATTTCCTTTTCACGTGAAACGTTAAAAATATAAAAAAATCTTATATTAAAAAACTATTAATCAATCAGTCGTTGATGAGGTAACATTACTGCGTTGACCTTGTTATTGATGTACGACGAGTGTTATTTTTAATACATTTTTAATTATTAATTAAAATTTAATAGAGTGTATTGTTAATTTTTTTAATTTTTTGTTCACTTGCTATTTTTTTTACAAAAAAAAAGTACCAAAATTGTGAGTTTAGGGTTTAGGGAAGATAAAGAAAAACAAATGGCATACGCAATATATCTCTTTACTTCTTGGAATGTATATATCACAACACACGTTTCCATTGAGACAAAAATCAACCAAACATGCAATGCAATGCCAAGGATTGTGAGTTTTTCTGGTACATAAAAAATTGTTTGTAATAGCATGATGACTTGGGTTATTAGTTAATCAAGAATGAATTTGTAAAGATAATTTTTTTTATAATTATGATAAATTCTACGATACTCTAAAAAACAAGAAAGAGTATTCTATGTTTTTGTACACGTAGAACAATTATAATCATTATTTTAGTGATATAATTAGTGTTGTTTTTAAAAAAAATAAATATTTTTTAATATTTTAGTATAATTTAAATAAAATATTCAATGCTCTTTTAAATTTAAGAGTATCGTATTAAGTACTTGTAATAATTATTAATACAATGGAGAATAATAAATATTTAACGTGCTCAATTTCACATGCCGATTAAAGGGAGGTTTGCTTCCTGACATATCTGATTATTATTATGTTTATTGTTAGAACCACATGGTTTAGATATAAAATTATTCAAGGTGTGAATTCATTATCTTCTGTCTCTCTAAGAAACGCCATGCACACATATATAAACTTAACACAACTTGATGGTATTTTATATTCGTTTAATCACTAATACCAATAATGTGACAGTGATTAATATAAATGAAAACGGAAGTTTCAAAATAATTATGTTAAGATATGTTTTGGGTTTAATGAAAAATTAAACTTATAATTTTATGTAAACTTTTTAAATTTCTCATAATTAATTCAATTTTTTCAACTTTTGTTGTTAAAAATAGATTAGACCTAACTCAATTTTAAAAATTAGCTCTTATAAAAATGACCACTTAGGTCTCTATCACTATAAAAAAAAAGAAAAGAGATTAGCAATTAAATTTGACACTACATTAAAATCGGCCATAATTTACAACTGATTCAACGATGGATGATTATTATATAACAAAAAAAGACAAAAAATATTTTAACTCTGAATTATTGCTTGATTACTTGATCACTAAATTATTTAAGAACCCTCTATTTATGACCAATGAAATTGAGACTTAAGTTCTAATGGTGTCATGTTATATTCATAATTTTTTATTTTTTTTAATTTAGTCCTTCAAATTATATTGAAATTTTATAAAATAACTCAGCTTCAATCTCAAGACACTCACCTCGTTAATGGCTCAGCGTTACAATTTAGTCCTTTTTAAAATACGTCTAAAAACAGGGTCGTCACGTTTGGATTGTCAGATGAAAAGTATATATAAAAGGCTATGTTACAAAATTAAATTAAATAAAGACTAAAATACAAAAAATATAAATTAAGAAATTTATTAAAAAGATAAGAAACCTATTATATTCTGCCGTATATTTTAACAAAGAAATACTTCGGTAAGTTTGAGATCCAGAGCATGTATTGACTATAATAAGTTATAAGACTCTCGATTAACCAAAACGTTTTATAAAAAGAAACATCTTTATCAAAGTCCTCACATTTGAGATTGAACAACAAGCTTCGAGACAATATAATTTTTTTAAAAGGAGAGATTTAAGGAGATTAAAAAAAGTTTACCTAACCTTCGCATCAACCCAAAATAATAAATCAGTATTATTAGATCAAATGTCCAAAATAAAAGAAATACCAATTGGGTTAGATGAATTCGATTGTTTGATATATATATATATATATATATAAGATCACATGATCATCATGTATACCCAATAACCTTTCTTAAGCCCTTTCTGTTCAACCCTTTTCCCATGGACCATGTTCTTTGCTTCACCTACTTTCCAGAGGGTTTACCATTAAGTTCTTCCTAAAGCATCACTGCTCTCATAAATTCAGGTTTCCCAATAGAATTTTTGCATTTACAGACAATGAGATAGTATAAAACACTATGATAGTACAAAATATGATACCTTATAATTATTATAAGTTAATATTTTTTTTTATACATGCATTTACAATGTATATTTATCAATCTTTACTTTGATTTTCTATAAAATTGTTACCCAAAAGTGAAATGGTAGAAAAAGGAAAGCTTAAAATAATTTCTATCAAGTGACGATTAGAACATCAAAATTGTATCTGATTATTTTTTTAATAATATAAAAATAAGTATTGATATTTATTTATTATTAAAAAAATAAATGTTAACTTTTATATATCAACACTAATTTTTTATTATTAAAAAAATAAATACAAGCTTTTATATATCACATGTTACAGAACATATTATAAAAGAATATTTACAATAAAAATAAAAATAATAGAAAAGAAAATATTATTGCAAGTTGCTATTCTTAATTGCTCGTTATAATGAAGTTGGGTACAACAGAAATTAAGTTTGAAAAACTTAGAGTATGATTAATTATGGTATTAGTTAAATTTGTTTATATAATTCTTTCTTTTGATATTTATATATACAAGAGAAGAATCTTTTTATATTGATGTAAGTTTAAAAGCTCTTACATTTAATCTAAATTTTTTATTTAACTTATATCTAATATATTATAATTTATTATTTTATTGACTATTAAATATAAGTTAAATGAAAAGTTTAGAATATGTTTAAAAAGATTCTTTTATATATATATATATATATATATATAATATTATAAGTTAAATAATAATTTTTTCAAATTATATAATTTTAAAAAAGTTATTAGTTAGGTTTGATAAATACTTTTAAGATTATAAATATTTTTATTAAAAAAATAAAACTCTTTCTTTAAATATTTAACACAAATAAGAGACTTAAATGTTTGAT